AAATATATGACAGACGTGGATAGATAAGCGATAGACTCACCGAAATTGACTTCTTTGGAAGATTTGGTTGCGATTGCCAAGTTGTCGTAGATGTAGGTTCACCAGTTGTAATAGATTTTACCGAAGTTGAGGCGTGTTCTAATATTTGGCTCACCAATTTGTAGCGTGGTGTCGAGTTGAGTTTGACTATGAACACCGCTACAAGACTACGTGCCAATTAACCAATAAGATACTTATAGACCAATATCAGAAAACAGATGATGGCTGTAGTCGAGATGTATTTGTTGGCGATCTCGTGGTATCGAAAGAATACCGAGATCGTGCCAAAGGAGTACAAGCGTGGTTACTGAGCGTAACCGAATTCGTACAAGTTCAAAGTCAACGGAACAGTAAGTGTAATGGCTGTCATTAGCATAGTTAAACAAACGAGCACAGTAAATCAGTCACTGGTACAATTGGTTATAATGATAATTGTTTTCATGGAACCAATCGCATTCTGTTGACAAAAGTAGGTCACCACAAATGCATTTGACACAAAATTGCAGGACTCGTTAATAAAATCTAACAATCATATAGTAAATTCTTAATTTGCGAAATGTCCATCAATCGTCTCAAAATGACTCAGACTTCCTTGTTCTTGCATTTTCATACAAATCGCATTCTGTTTCCATTCTTTACTGTTCGATCATCTTGTCTCCCTGCTGCCAGACATTCTGTTCACGACTAACATCATATAATACTTATGTAAATATAGGTAGCACACACTGAAATACATCTAAGGACAGGTGTGCATAGCTCGACACCTACCATTATTTTACTGTGCTCTTCATAACCTGACTTCCATAAGTTTCTTGAACGAAAGTCTATTTTAGTATTAGAATTAATAAGAAGCGTCTTTTTAAAAGAAAATTTCTAACATTTATTTCATGTTTTTATATATCTGAAGCTTTTAGCCGAACTAAACTGTAGTGCTCAGACACAGGGTGTGTGATTCGAAGTATCCTCCATTAACATATATTACATTGTATTATGAGCGTCAGATTTTCCTCTGGATTATAGACTCAGTACAACCAGTGACGTTATGTTCCGTGGAGGAAACAAAATTTATAAAACGACGTTTCGCCTTCTCGTTGTTGTTTGTATTTCAAAAACATGAAGGGAGGATTCGTTGAATTCTTAATGTGATTTTGCTGTGGTTTTAGGTATGTATTGTCCGGTACATCAGTTCATTTATATATGTTCTTATTTCTTTCAGTATTCACTACATTAACCTAGTACGTTCTGGTTAACAAGAACACAAAATGATTGTCATGGGATATAAAACATCGTGCGGAGTATCTAATCATGATATTTCGTACTGTAATATAACTCTCTGTAAGCGGATGAACCAATTTTACGTTCGTTAATGTCTCATTTGTGTTGCCTTTAGGGTTATGCAATCTGCTTGATTCTTCGTCACACTTCTACCTGGTTGTCCTACGTTTTACTGATATTGGTGAAAAACACAAAAAAATGATTGGTCCGTCAGTTACAGTTTGCACTTACCATTCGTCTTAGAAAAAGGTTCCCCGTTTATCTGTTGACTTTCCCACATCGTGACGCGGCAGCTTTTTCTTGTGGTCACAACCAGATTGTTAGAATACTTAAAGGGTAAATCACCTATGTAACATGGTTGATAAAGCAGGCAAATACAATGAACACAAAAAATCAACGTTTTGAGAAGAAAAAAGAAAAACACTACTCCAACCCATTATTGTTTTGCCACTATTGTCTGTAATTTTTAAAAATGGCGGTGATGAAAATGCACTTAAAATGACTTTGTTCTTGAATTTCTTATGGAAGAAACTTCACTTAACATAATTTTTTGGGCTACTTATGGTAAAATTTTAGCATTGAATTTAAGCTCTGGGTAAGTTTTGCAGAATAATCTATGATGTACATATGATGTTTAATACAGACACGCCAATTCCACAAAATTTTGTATTCATTTTACAATACATGTGGCTATCAGAGGTATAAATAAATAATATATTTGTAATATCCCGATTTGTGCAAAAATTAGATTTCCTGACATTTCGTGACTTAGTGTAAGCCAGTTCATCGGAGAATAAATAACCAAATCAAAATTAATCCAAGTTATTTATTCTCCGAGGAGGTGACTTACATTAAGTCACGAAATGCCAGAAAATCTAATTTTTCAATTCATTGAGATATCACAATTGTATTATTTATTTACAACAATCTACCCGAAAAATACGAGAAAACTAATGCTTAGTAGTTTTCATACTTAGCCTCAGATTACCTGAAAAGCAACGACCAAAATAATCCGTGATAGGCATATTTGACAGAATTTGCAGGACAGATGCAAGCGGGTAGGGGAGTGTCCAGGATGTCAACAGTTAAAGGGTAACAGCCATATGAGGCAAGCCATCACAATTTTTCAAAATTAAATGCACTTTTTACCAATGTTCCTATAACCCTGTTCCACGTGACCTTTTAAAATACACATTGGATATCGAATACTTGAAAAAAAAGTGGTGCATGTCAACTAATGCCAGCGCGCTATCATTATCAAGACTGTATAATTCGGCTAACTAGGAGCTATCACCTTAAACGTATCCCCTTCGTTTTCGAACTGAATATACTGTTCTCTCGGTAAGATCGTATTAACAAGTTAAAAGTCATTAAAAAAAGAAACTAGTGATGTGATAGGGCAGATCATTATCGTCTACGATATGACTCCGACGTAAGACCATTTATATCGGACGGGAAAGATGACAAGTACAAAATATTAGATTACGTGCATCAAGCTAATGGCTTAAATAAGTGCATCAATGCTGACCTTAAACTTCAATCGGGTCAAGGTGTCGGAGTTTTTTAGAATGAAGTATATTGCATTTACTTTTCAGTACATCAGTTGGTGGTTTATGATCTGCATTAACTATGAATCTCTTGGCTTATATTATGCTTCGGAAGTGCTCAATGTTTGCGGAACGCCTGGGATGTTCGCGTCTGAACGCAATGTCTGAGCCCTGCAGAATCAAACATTTTTAAGAAGAATACAACTCGTTGCCATGCTTTTTTAACCAGTTATGTACAAGCACTCCTTACTGCTTAGTTCAAAGTATCTAATGTTGAAGCGAGATGGTATTTTGGGCCCGGGTACGTTAACATAGATGTTTAGGCGAGTTTGTTTTTAAACGTTTTAGTAGCCTCAATAACCTTGAGTCACATTTAGCGAATATCGTCATACCCTGTTAGCCGTTTTTTAAATCTTGGATATGTGACATCGGATATTTATCTGCTACAGTTTAATGGTTAAGAGCTCTGTAAATCTCACCAGTCACCTGTCAATTCAATTTTTCTTCTCTATCATGTCAGTAGTAGATACCCACTGGCTATCACAGTTACTGACAATGCTCAACTTTATCATAAAGTCGAACTAGGCCTTAATGACTTTAGATTCATCAAAAGCTGATTTCCTGGGCTTGAGAAACGCAACAGTGGCCTCTGCTTTTATTACTAGAGTTATCTTCGGCTTGTTTTCGAAAGGTCGAGGACTCGTGTTTGCTAATTTGGAAATTATATGCTTTTACCCTGAGACTTAGAACGCGCTATAGGAGGAATATATGCCAAATTTTGAGAAATCAAAATTTTTCTCCACGCTGTATCGTTCAAGGTCGAATGGCGTTTCTCAAAATAACTTTATGGGTCGTGATCCTATTTTTAAACGATCAAATATTATTGATGTTAGTGAAATATGCATTATGATTCTTTCTACTGAACCTGGTGATAACAATATGGATATGAAAAGCTAGTTATTTCTTTTTAACCTTGATTGTTTCTGCGTTAGCGTATGTGTGTGTGCTCAATCCATTAAGATGCTGACTTACTTTTCCCCTGGTTATAAACAGTGAGTCACGCTTGACCCTCTAGCCTTCTTCGCTTCGCTTGGCACCCGTCAATGTTCGTCAGTGTAAACGAACTTCTAAAACATTTGATGACCTGAAATGCATGAATTAACCGATCTCGAAAAAAGGGAAAGTAATTTAAATTGGCGTGATATATTAGTAGACAATACAAAACCTATATCAAGCAATGCAAGTCTGCAACAGCATACACAAATGGAGAATCGGCTCTGAAACCTCAAAACTAGTACCAATACCTAAACTTTTGGCGCGATGTTTCGTAAGCGATCGTGAATGGGAATCTCTCCTAAATGATCTATCATGGTTGTATAAACAATTAACCTTACCTTACTTATGTCAACAAGGCCGAAAATGCTGTAGAGGTTTATAATTCGCAACGAACTTCGCAGCACTGTTGCAGGGTGATTGAGCTAGTAATAATCGCTTGTCAGTTGAAACTCCTATAGCGTTCACAAAAACACCACATTCTGTCTATTTAAGGAACGTAAGATAAATGTTGTGAAGCGAAATGTGTTAGATAACACATTTCAAAGTGAATTTGTACTGACGGTAGAAACCCTAAAAATAATTATTCCATGGTGATCTAGGTTCAACTGACTCATGATCTCAACCATTGAAATTACTATAATATCCACAAAAAAACCTTCTGATAGAAATCAACATATGCTCACTAGTGATAGACTACAAGAGGTTTTTCCTGGAGTTCTAGTGAGAAGCAGTGATCAGTGTGGTTCAACTAAGTCTGTTGTGAGATAGTAATTCACAGAAGACAATAGTTGGCGTATCGCTCAACTTCGTGGATTAGTTGGTGTTAGACATTAACACCATTGGATGCCGGCTGACTGACAGATCTTGGTTTTGAATCTCGCTGAGGCGGTATTGTGGGTGTGCACTACTGATGAGTCTCGTGGTGGGACGAAACGGCCGTCCATTGCTTGCAGGTTTTCCATGGTGCTCTAGCTTCAATTGTCTCATGGTTTCAACCATTGATAATACTATTTTATTGACGTAAACCGTTCTGATAATATTTTTTTAGTTGAGTTAGTGTTTGTTTTAATGTACCACTAGGCTGTTTAATTAGTGTAAACTATGTAGTGCATATTTAATCCTAATTTCTGTGACTGGTATCTAAAATTCTCTTATATTTTGTGGTGAGGACTTTTCAGTTATGGTTTACCCTACCATTTTAACAAAAACGTTTCGAGTTGCGTACTTTTATTTAGTATCCGCTAATGATGCTAATAACTCTGCTGAAAGGTGGAGAGAAGATACCTAAAATTGATCCATTTTGTCCCAAAGTTGGAAGCATGCTTATTTCTATGGGGATTCAGTTTTTGATAATTTGCTACAGCTAACACGGTTAATACATACTCTAGTACTTCCACAAGCTTGGTATCTCGCACGTGGTAGACTATGGACGACCTTCCCCTTTAAAACTTTTGGGCGGTGATAGTAACTTTGAGAAAACCTACCTGTCCATTAGGGTCAAATGGAGTTAACAAATTAGTATAGGGAATTAGGGCTTAGAGTCAAATTCAAGGTTACGAATTAAAGTAAGTTTTTCATCACGAATTGAAATCAAGTATTATGCCAAAATGCTCTTTAACTATATGAATGAGTACATTTCAAGACAAAATACAAGACTGGTCATCTTTAATTAGATTGTTTCGTTCATAAGTCATAATCTTTCTGATATTAGGGGGTAAAAAAGACGCTTGTAGTAATCTATCTAGTTACGATCATTTTATGCAATCACTGTAATTCGTGACAACAGTACATGACAGTACAGTTTCTCAAAGGCATTGAATGGTGGGTTTGGTCTCATCTCTACGAGTTGGTTGTTTAGTTCACTGACCAGGTATTAGAGAAAGGATCTTAACCTGAGTTCAACACCTAATGAATAAACTTATTTTTAACGGTTTACACTGATCAAAGTATTCCAGATGCATCCGTCCTTTATCACTCTATAAACCTGATCTTATTGTATATTCTTTTCTCCGTTCGTCTGTGACATCACATCTTGGTATATTTCTATCTTCCTGTTGGTCTAACCATTTTCGCTTTGCTACATTAGGATACTTGAACTGATATGTTGTCATGTGAAGCTTATTGTAGAACTTACTTCTCAGTTTTAGTTTATACTTCCTTAGTTTTGTATTGCCTCTATGGTGATTAGAAAACGTAGTGTTATCTAAATCGTTGTGTAGTACATTGTTGTCGATAAATCTTAGTCGATCTACATCAACGCAATATTATAATTTTAGGATTAGCTTGTTACATTTCTTATCGTCCTCTGTTTTAGGCATTGTTGGGTTAAATTTCGTGACAAATAACAATGTTATTTAGGATAAAAATGACATCTAACTGCCACACAATTATGTCACATTATACCTGTTCAAACAAGTATAGGCTTGTTTAATGTTGTTTTATGAACTCGTGGTATAAATGTAAAATTGCTTAGCTAGATGAAATGAAGCTTCCACAATCTATGGATTTATCAAACTATACTATCGAAGTATGTGATAGATTAAAGCTTTTCTTGTCTGCTTTGTTTACTACAAGTAAATATTGAGTAGATTTTGGCTTCCCAGGAACCTGGAAATTTCAAAAACAAACGAATGTTAACAAAGAAGCTTCAGGCTGTAAGGTCATTTCCATTGAAAGTGAAGTAATATCAATTTTCTTAGAGTACATCTTTACGAAATGATTGCAAGGATCATGGGTAATAATTTTTTAAAGCTGTCAATAACTATATTTAGTTGTAGATTTTCACGTTCAAATGCTCAATGCACCATTCAAGAAGAATGTGATCGTGTTTCATTGACTCGTACGACTAGTGTTAGATCCACGGTAGAGTTTCCTCCAAATATAGACGAGAAAGATTTAGAAATATTAGGTGAAATTGGAAGTGGAGCATATGGTAGAGCTATAAAAGTAAGTTGGACATTCGGATATTAACTGACTTCCATCACTAAGGAAATACTTTGTGATTCTTGAAAGTAGCAAAGTCCCATTAATGTTTTTTGATGTCTTGAAATGGCATTTTGATGCATTATTATTATTACTATCATTATTATTATTATTATTATTATTATTATTATTATTATTATTATTATTATTATTATTATTATAAAGACCATGTTTCCAATTATTGTTGATCAAATTTATTGGGTGCTAGTTGTGAGGCCCTCTAGTGGCCCGAGATCTGAATCCAGGTAGATTGTATGAATGATTGCTATCGCATATCCTTGTATATAATCATTGACTTAATTCGCGTTTGTCAATAGCAGAATTAAATAAGTCAAATAACGAGAATGGACTTTTGAAAACATATATTTTGTGTAATCGTTGATCGGATAAACGAACGAGAGAACGATGCGAAGATGAGAAAGCGAAGCTAAATTGACGCGCGGTGGAGATGGCTGGTAAGCCAACTCCCCTGTTAACCAAGCGTTAATCAATATTTATAAACACACAAAAATAAATTACAGACATGTGATGAGTAATGGGATAAGAAGTGTACATACACCTACGCGTTCATATAAAGACGGTCAAGATATTGATAAGCGAATAATTAACAAGGTCAGAATGTGACTCAAATAGAATGAATAGAATGGGCTGTCCGAAAGTTAGAATAATAAGGTATTTAGGCTTAACATAATGTCAGACACCACATAGTACATGAAAATATCAGTGCAAGATGTCAAACGGAGAATATTTTCATGCATATGTAGAATCTAAAGAGAAATAGTATACATTATTGTAGAAGTTTATTTATAACTTCAAACACCATATGTTAATTTGAGAGTCCTCATAAAGACATAATATTACCTTGCTTGAGTGAACTTATTTAATGACGATTTGCTTATTAACGGCCTAAGGATTTTACCTATAACTAATTTGGTTGTGGGTCGGAATATTAACTGTTTTTAAGATGACACCAAATATTGTCATTTACTTTCATATGATAATTTACCACACAAACTGGAATATGTAAGTCATTTAAACTCATTATCTAATTATGATTTATAAATATCACAAGTTATAAGCAGCTGATGATAACCTTCGAAATAAAATGAATTCATGCTATTCTGCTAGAATCTTTGTTCTTGCTCTTTTCAAAATGATAAAGGGAACTATGTGTATGAAACTGGAATATAGTTGCATAGTTTAACACGTTAGAATTAAAAAGGTGAAACTTTGTGGTCATAAGAAGGCTTTAAACTGATGTGAATTTTGAAGGAGACGAATTCATAAACATGCATATTATCATTCATTCAGCTTAGTCGTTTGTGTATTTTTCGTTATATATGCTCTTGTCTTATCTTTCTGGTTGCCAAAATTTAGAAACAAGTTTTGAGGAAGCAACCTTGACATCAATTTATTGCATCCTCAAACACTACAACAGAGAAGTTAATTCAGATAGTTTGTTTTATCTAACTTATTTCAACTGTTCGTGAAATATTGCATTTAATTGTCATCGTTATTTATGCTAATAATGTAATCTGTTGCTCTCTTAGAAGAGCATATTGGTGAAACTTCTCAATTTTCATAATTTTGTGCTTGTTTTAAAGATCCATCTTGCAGGATTTCCCTATTTAAGATAAAAACTCTTCCTCATAGATGCAAAGTTCTTCCGGTTTATTACAAAGTACTTTTTTGTCTGATGTATTAACTTATATGCAAATAATTTCTTGAAGAATACAAAGCTAAGTGAACACTGAACCAAAGATTTATAACGAGTAGGTCAATTCGAAAGTGAGATTGTACTAGCCTGGACACTAGTTTGAGTTCAATCATGTCATAAGCCATAGGTGTACACTCCCAGAAAGTCTCAAACTTGAACAAACAACTTGTCTATCCTTCCATTCTTCTTGGTACTCCTCTAAATGATGCTAGTGTTGTGATAATAATAAGTTTAAATGTTTGACTACGACGATCTGCTGGCCGATAATTGTTTATACAGTAGGTAATAACAATGACATATTATCTGAAGATTATTATAAAAACGTGTCTCCTACTATTCTTAAAAATCTCATGATTGTGTGCGTGTATTTATTTATGCATGTGTTAACCGTGTTAATTTGCTTTTACACCTCGTTCCATTTCAGGTAAAACACCGACAATCTAATTGTCTGTTGGTTCTTAAAGAGGTTATTGAACAAAATAAAGCAATCGAAGCAACCATTATACGCGAGGTAAGGAACATAATTCTGTTTTTAAAAGTACGCAAACAGATGAAGTATTTTTTCTGGTTAGCGTTTTTTTAGCGAGTTAGTTTTTTACGGGATTGGGTCACTAACCCCATGTCCGACCCTCCTTTATCTGGGCTTGGGACCAGGAGTAGCCCCAGAGGGGCTACAGGCGGGGTTACGCGAAGCGATATAGTCTGCAATACATAAAAATTTGTTAGTTTATGAATGCTTTGAATTATTTATTTGGATTATTTGTTTAGTTTTCAGCTATCTCTCAGCTTATCATACCATTTTCTATTTAAGTTTGTGTTTAGGTTATTGGTTTCAAGGGTTTTACAAAAATGTATGTGTATTTTGAAGATGATTCCCATTTAGAACTGATACCATTTGATGAGCAATTGACACTCAGAGATCACTAAACTATTATTTCGTTCTATTGCGAGACTTCTCAGTAATGTAAACTCACTAACCAACACGGAAATGAGTCCAACACTATTTATCGACCATTGAGTGAAAATGGAGTGGTCTATAGTTTAAACTTTAGCTAAGTTTTTATGTGGCGTTATCCTTATTCACTATCATCGGTAAGGTACTGTCTCACTTTCAACTTAATTCACTCATCAGATGACGGCATTCTAATAGAATTTCAGAGAACCCATTCTAATACTAGTTAGTTACTACATGGTTATTATTAGGTTTGTGGGCTTTAAGGACAGTTTTTATAATCTCAAAGTGACCCTTAACACAAACGTACTTCATTATGTTTTATTTATTCTTGCCAACTGCACAGTTGCTATGCGTCCGGTTTACAATCAACATCAGACGTATTATGTGGGCTCTATCTAAGCTGTCATTCGTAAAGTATTCATGAAGTAATGTGTTATTGGAAATATTTACTAGGTTGAGCATTTCTTGTTTTTATCACTGATTCTTGAAAATTCTTGTCATCCTTGCCAAAGTTATATGCATATTGTTCGTTTGAAGTAACCATTAGGAAATCATAAACCCAGGCCTTTGTGTTCTAGTATTTTAGGCGATTCCCATTGTTTAGAATTCAGACCTGTTTTTTAAATTTTGGATCTCTATTCTGTGAGTTAGTTGCATAAACAAAGTCCATACTTGTAACATTGGAAACATGCAACCCTAAAGTAGGGCTCGTGAATAACAAACATAAACCGGGCTGGCTTCAAATCTGGATATTGAATTGTCGACCAAATGCTCACCGTTTGTCAGGTTTCAGAACTAATACATACCTACTGATGTCCGACAGTCCATTCATATTAGCAGTTTCTCAGTCGCTAAATTTCAAGTTTCTCCTCAAGACTGCTCCGTTTCAACGCCTCAATTGAGGTTATCTAAGTCAGTGAATCACTCATGTTATCGTAGAAGTTTCGTCAGTCCCGTTTGGTTGGATCTGATGTAATCTCGACCCATTTCCGAAAAGCTCGGTTGACTTTGCTTAATTGTGCTAACTGTGCTGTAGGCAAGATGTCTGCCAACCAAAGAACCAGTATCCTACGCAACAATGTACTATCTTTTGCTATATTCTTGTGAAACATTATCTTTAGAAGAAGAGAGCGTGGGCTGGTTACTAGTATTAAATCATAGATATTTTCAGAGCATTACTCGCATGTGTTGGGAGCATAGAGTGAACTATATTCAGGTTAGACAGATGGTACTAGACGAAAATGATTAATCTATTGATGAGTTTATGAACCTTCACCAAATAAGGACCGACTACACGTTTGACCAACTACAACCTACCTCAAAACTTGATACTCGCTGGAGTAGGAGTAAAGTACATAAATTCCTGATTGTATATTGTTTGAGACTGATTGACTGACTGATTGGTAGTAGAATAAAATATACAAATCAGTTATAGAGAAGTGATTGAATGTATCTTAATATATGATAACTTGATAAATGAATTACAAACATATATGGCGTTTAAGTATTCACACGTTAAACTATTCATATAATGAAAGTCCACACTTTGAAGCATTTTACAAAATCTTTATACCTTCAATTGTTTTCTGATGATAATATGAATAATACAAAATTAGTTATTGAATAGTATATACAGGTTGAAAACTCCTACTTCTTTGATATATGTAATTTTGTAAGTTTCTCAATATTTTCAAGTCAACAGAATTTTCCATATGTAAAATTTTCAGTCACATGCAATTAGATTATGTAGTAATTTATATTTCTATAGATATGTATGCTAATTATTGTTAGAATGATAATAGAAACTACTAATTAAATAAAACTTTATAATACACTTTAGTCAATCAGTTTTAGTAATCTTTACGATATTTTAAGGTCAATGTAGATATTATGCATTTCAGTATGAATACAATTCCCGGCAAAACATCACATATATGTATATATGAGTTTTGACTATGCATTCTACTCATTTATGTTTCTAAACTATTTCGGTTGGTTTAACACTGATCGTTAACACAAAATAATACTAATAGTAAGTATAATTGATGTATATAAATGTATACTCAAACTATAGTAAATCTACGCTGGTCAAAACAATCACATAGTATCGTTAGTCATTTCAACTAAAACTATGACTGAAATTTGAGTATACTAATTTGTATTTGGCAAGAGTTTCAATAAAATCAATTACATTATAATGCAATCTTATTTTATAGTGTTTTGTTTTAAACTGATACATAACTTCATCAATGATTATTGTTCCTAACAATTCGTGAAGTTATATAATTGTATTAGAACCTTTTGAAATAAAATCATTGCTTTAAACCATTCCATACACATCTAAAATAAATAATGGTAATGTATTTAGTGATATAGAAAGTTTCAGATCAGTCTGAAACGTACTCTAATAGTTACTAATAGATCAACGGCTGAAGACAAGAATAGACTGTGAACAAACGTAAATGTATTGTGTTATAATTATAAAAAAAAAAATAAAACGAATACTTATATACCAAGTGTTTATTGATTGATGCATAGATTACAGTATCATACGGAAACAGTTTTATTCAATTCTAAAATCTTAATATTGTTTCATAATTCTTATTCTTCAGTTTTATTCTTTTTTTTTTTCATTATTTACGAAATATTTTCTCTTTACGCATAGTTCTTATCCATCATTAATATAACCGTAATGTCAACGCTTGACTTTCATCTTAGTAATTTTCTCCACTCTTACTATATTGACATATGAACTAAATCAATATAAACTAATTTAATTTAGTACCAAACCTTCTATATTGTTTCCAAGATATTTAACAATTTCCGACAACATAATATCTTTCATTATTTTATTGATTTATCTTATTATGCATATTATTACCCTTAATTTAAACAATTATCTATCTTTTCTTTTGTTACAGGTTTCACTACTTCAAAATTTAAAACATTCAAATATTTTAACAATTGTTGGTGTGGTTATTCGAAATAGACAATTTTGTCTTATTACTGAATATATTGAAAAAGGAAGTTTACATTCAATATGTTTGGATAAAATTAAATATCCATTTGATTGGATTAAAATAATAACATTTGGTCGTGATATTGCATCAGGGATGGTAAGTTTAATTGTTTATTTTTTTCTTCAAAATATTTTTGTTTTATTCGAAATGGTCGTTTGACTTTTGCCAACTTACGTCATCTATGAAGAAGGTGATATATCCGTCTATCAATAAATGGACGAGTATATTGCACGGCAGTTCGTTCTGTCCTACTTTACGGCTGCGAAACATGGCCATTAAGAGTAGAAGATACTCGTAAGCTACTAGTATTTTGACCAGAGATGCCATGGAAATATTGCTCGCATCTGCTTGAATCACTAGGTAAGTAATAGTGAGGTTTAACGAAGAGTATTATGGAATGATGATAAATCAGTTGATGAGGTTGTGAATCTTCATTGGCTGAGATGGCTGGGACACGTGTTATGTATGCCTGAACTCCGATTACCACGACGCACAATACTGACTAGTGTTGATGATTGGAAGAAAGTTAAGGGCAGCCAAACTAAAATTTGGCATCAGTGTTTGAAGTCACTAACTTCTAGTCTTAGCCATGTTGGTAGATGCGTACTACTTGATTGGGGTCCACGTGACTATCGTAATCAATGGTTGGAGACTCTGTGTGACATGGTTCAGGTATATGAACTCTCTGTCTTTCCTTAAACTATGAGATTAAAATTGCTTTATATCTTTCTTTCTACCAACTGATTCTTTCTTCCTGTATTACATCTTTATATGAAATCTTTCTTTAATATACAACTACCACTGAACTAACTACTTTTATGAATCTGGTGTTCATCTTGTTGTGCTAATGAGGTATGGCAACTTGGACCGATGTATATATGTTCTTGGTCCTGTGTTGTAGCTGACTGACTGACTTTACTCATTAGTCAACTTTTATTGCATGGAAGAATATTATCTTTATTGTTATTAAGGTGTAATTATGGTGATTATAATAGATAAACAGACTATTTGATAGATTTAGATAATGCGTTAAGAAGATGAAATTTATTAGAACTATGTGGTATATCAGAGTAGTATATTTCAAACAGTCTAATCATATATTTATTTAATAGTTGAGATTTTGAGCCAATTGAAGCTAGACCACCATGGAAAACCTGCAAGCAATGGACGGCCGTTTCGTCCGACCATGGGACTCCTCAGTAGTGCGCATCCACGATACCGCCTCCACGAGATTCAAAACCAGTATCCATAAGTATCGCGCGCGAGCGCTCAACCACTAGATCACTGAGCCGGCCGGCATCCAACGGTGTTAATGTTTAACTTCAACTAATCCACGAAATCGAGCGACAAACCCACCATTGTCTTCAGTGAATTACTATCTCACAACAGACCCGGTTGAACTCTACTGATCATTGCTTTTCACTAGAACTCCAGGAAATACCTCTTGTAGTCTATCACTAGTGAACATATGTTGATTCCTATCAGAGGGGTTTTTTGTGGATATTATAGTAAATTTAATAGTTGCGATGATTTATTTGTTGATCAATTTATAAATGAAAGAACAAAAGGTCAACTAAACAAGTTAAAAGATAAGAGAAAAATAGATAATAAAGAAAGCAATTTGGATTACATTATGATTAGCATGCTCTTTTTATATCAATGTGTTCATTATAACGATGAATTTTATTTGTTCATCCATAATGAAAAAGGAAATATACTGTAATTATTAAGTTAATACTTTTGTCGGTTAAGAATAAATTGTTTTGTCAATAATACTGATTTTGTAAATTCCAAATGTTTAAATACACATTAGTGAACAAATTGAACGATGAGACTACTTTTGGGTCTCATTTTTTCTTATCTTCGCTTTGTCAGTCTTAACAACAAGATATTCACTTTCGTTTCCACATAAGAATATTTGACTCAAAAACTGATTATGGATCAATATTTACTTGCTCAATTGTGTTATTATAAAATTAATTGGGTAACTTGATTAAATGTTAGTTCATTTAAAAATGACGCTTTATTTTGTTTGAATAATAAGGTTTATTGTCTATCGTATGCAGAGGCTAACGTAGTATTTTTTACATGTGTTGTGAAGACTAGAAATATGTAAACTGGTTACCATATCTAAGGTTATTAATCAGATTAAATTATTAATAATCTGTCGAAACTAATATCTAGGTCCTTAAAAACCTTGATTCCTATGATGGATTAAACTGCAAAGAGGACAATTCACAGACGCGTTCAATGTAAAGACCGGTGTCTGGCAAGGTTTCTTACTCTCACCCTTTCTCTTTCTCCTGGTGATCTACTGGATCATGAGGACGTCAACATCTGAGGGGAAGCATGGGATACAGTGGACAGCTAGGATGCAGCTGAACGATCTAGACTTTGCAGATGATCTGGTTCTTCTATCGCACTCACTGCAACAAATCCCGGAGAAAACGGCCAGTGTAGCAGCATACTCAGAAGCAGTAGGTCTCAACATACACAAAGGGAAAAGCAAGATTCTCCAATACAACAGAGCATGCATCAATCGACTCACACTTGACGGAGAAGAATTGGAAAATGTAAAAACATTTACATATCTGGGCGGCATCACTGATGAACATGGTGGATCTGATGCAGATGAGAAGGCGCGGATCGGCAAAGCAAGAGCAGCATATTTACAACTGAAAAACATATAGAACAATTTTCAACCAACACCAAAGTCAGAATTTCCAGTACAAATGTCAAGACAGTTCTACTGTATGGGGCGGAAACTTGGAGAACTACGAAAGTTATCATTCAGAAGATACAATTATCTACTCGAAATACTTCGGATCCGTCGGCTATCAGCAACTGTCAGCAACAATCTACTATGGGAGTGAACAAACCAGATTCCAGTGGAGGAAGAAATCAGGAAGCAGTGCTGGAAGTGGATAGGACACATATTGAAGTAAAGCACCCAACTATTTCACAAGAGAAGCCCTCACATGAAATCCTGAGGGCCAAAGGAGAATAGGAAAACCAAAGAACACATTATGCCGAGAAATAGAGACAGACATGATAAGAATACATAACAATTGAATAGAAATAGAAAGAAAGGCCCAGGAAAGAGTAAGTTGGAGAATGCTGGTCGGTGGCCTATTCTCCATTAGGAGTAACAGGCGTAAGTAAGTAATGTTTCTGAACCATGAAAATATTAAATAATGCGACAGTTTACATTAATTGTAAATAAAATACCAAAAAAAAAATTATTTATTCTTTGTGAATTAACACGATTTGTATTTTTATTAATATGACTTTTAGGCTTATTTACATAAACATGATGTTATACATCGGGATTTAACAACTCATAATTGTCTTGTACGACAAGTAAGCTATTTGAATATTATTTATGAACACCATTTATTGTGTTAACGATTTGAAACGTTATTAGTATTGTTTAAATTTCTTTATTAAAACAAACAATTCTCCCGATAAAAAAATAATTGAAACGAAACAAGATTGAAGTACATAACGTCACACTGTGTTAATCGAATCATTTCGTAGTGAGGGTTCAAATAAATGTTAGTTGGAAATATTTGATTCCAAACTAGTAGGAATGTACGTAAGTTTTAGGATCATAATGAAATAAATGGCTGGTGAACCTAATTTGTACTACAATTTTTTAGCGTTGCTACGGTACTCTTAGATCAAATTGCATAGTCAGTAAAACTGATAACTTTGTTTTAATGTTAAATGGCTGGAATTAGTTGACTGGGGACTATGGATCTAGATTTCGTACTATCTGGCGCTTATAAGCAACCCGTACCTCTAGGTAGTTAATTGTCCTTGTGAAATTTGAGGCTGCATCATAGTTTAAAACGGTATCGTTGAACTATTCCAGTGGTGACTCACACCTGTAGAATTAAGATATTTGCAGTGATCAATCACTGAGTATTGACCGAAGTCACGATGACCACATTACAACTTGATCAATATGATTCGACCAGCACTCAGGACTAGATAACCATGAGATCTGTTACTACTCAGTGGTTTATCAATGTATTAGTTTCATTTTTGGCATCCGTGCATCCTCAAAGCTTTCATATAAATCATGAATATTACAATGAACAAAAATGTATGAACCGTTGTCTTCACAAGTAAACTTTCATAAAATATTACAGCTTTAATAACTATTTAAGCCCAATTACTTTGTACCGGCTGGAGTCTCTACATTTTATATTGCTATGCGATCTACACTCCGTAACTAATTTTTAATCTTCAACTCATGTAGTGGGTTGTTTTTGTTAAATTTTCTGTCCTTTACCTTGTAAGAGGCATTTTAAAAATTACCTGTACCATTTAAGCATACTACTTTAATGCTGTAAATAAGAGCACAGTAAATTTTAATGAGATCTCCAAGAATGAGAAATGGAAGTCGCTAAAACCGGTGGACCGTATAACATTTTACATTTATGGCCACTGTCCAATCAGAAATCACTTGAATACCACTTCCTTAGAATATCAGGATTGAAATCCAGGACTTTCTTCTCGTCCTACATAGGACTCGTCATCTAGATATACCTCCATCCCATTGTTTGATGTTCTTCACAATGGGACTCGAACCCAGTATTTTCTATTTCGGACCTCAATGAGTTATCTAATGACAGCTATTCTATTCAGTTAGCCACCAACTTGTTCAACAGGTATGTTGTCTTATGCTGTTGGTAAAAGTCTATTATCCCATTGTTGATGGTCACGATTGAGTTTTGATCAGTTTTTGTTGGTATATGTGTACCCTAAAAAGATTAAATTGATCTAACCACTTTTTTTATGACAACCATGGAATATAATCCCTTAATAATTATAATATAAAACAATTGTCACTTTATTCAAACTATTTATCAAGGTTTTTCCCACACAAAAGAAAACACAACCAAAATTTTTTTCTGTTGAGTCACCTACTAAAGTCTGAAATAAGTTGGTCCTGAAAGTTCTATTTATCATAATATCATTCAATTAATGTTTTTCTGACTAATTAGTCTTATAAATTGATTGTTTTTTAACTAAATTGATTTTTGAAAAGAATGAAAATAATTTTCTAGACAGTTTTCTTATTTTCTTTTCATTAGGATGACTCTGTAGTTGTGTCTGACTTTGGTTTGTCAAAATTAGTTCAGTCAATTCCGTCTTGTAAACAGAAAACAGAAGAAAAATGCTTTGATCATACAACAACAAATGACTCTACATCAATAATTCAAGATTCTTCTTCTGATACTTCAAATAACACCGATGTTCAACGTAACCATACTCCTCGTCTTAGACGTCATCATGCATACAATCATCCAAGAAGACATACTGTAGTAAGTGAAATGATTTTTAAGCATTAAAAGGCCCGTATCTATTGATTTCAAGTAATTTCTTTCATACAAATGAAATGATTTCAGTTACCCTAGGGTATTTTTTCACGTTGCTTAATATGTATCAGGTCTCGGACTTGGGCGCAAAATTCATTCACCTATATGGCAAAATAGGGCCCAGTTCATCTGAGTGTATCATGATCAGTAATTACGGTTATTAGGTCATTTACTTAGTCACTCAATTGTAGATATGTTGGGGTAACTTATACCATAGGATAAAATGGAGATATGGTGTTTGCTATGTTGTAATTTTTGTTCCATCATGACTTGAGTGCACTACACTCGACACGTCCGTAGCATTATAGAGTAGTGCTTTCGTTGTGAAAAACTTTATATTTTTCATGTAAGCGACCAACAACAACTTTGCACGGTCAAAATTACGAACGAAAGTGGAGTCTATCCTAACGTTTTATCACTATGTCTGATGTCATTTCGTGATGATAACTCTAATTCCTAACTCTAAATCCCGATCCTAATTTTTCACACTAATTTATGGCCGTCTTCCGATCGTAGTAGGTAAGTGGATTTTCTCGAGGTCACTTTAGCATCTTTCCAGGGTCGACCATAAATCAAAGTCTCGCCACAAATATACTGGACAAAAATATACCATTTTAAATATCACACAGAATTAAAATATGATCTCGAATTTTATACCATTTTAACAATAACTTCATGATATAGTATGTACCTGGTAAATAGAATATACCCATTGAGACATAAAATAAGAAAGATTGGTACAGTGGAGAGTTATGTTTTCGGCAAATTCATTTTCGGAGCTGTACAATTACAAATATATATACTTCTTTTACAGTATGATAATAATTATCATAATATTGGTAATAAAATTCTGTTGAGCGTGGTAATGTAGTGAACAAGAACATGAATAAGGACAATGGGATGTATTTGACACGAAATTACAGAGCATCTCAATAAAATCTGCGAACCATATAGTAAATAGTTAATTTGCAAGATATCAATCCATCGTCTCAAACTTGACTGTTCCTTTTGCGAACATCAGTCCATTGTCTCAGATTTCATTGTTCATGCACTTTCATACCAACTGCGTTCCGTTTCCGTTCTTTCCTTATCTATCTTCTACTGAAATGCATTCTTTGCATGACCACCGTTATATACTACTTATGTGGATATAAGTAACCCACACAACAGTAACTGTAAGGTAGAATAAACAAAGGTATTAAAACATTATTTCTTTCAGGGAAACTAATAATAGTCTGTTTCACTATTTGTAGAATCATTTTTATTTGGCAAAAGTACATTCAATTCTACAAATACACTACACTTATACAAAAGTCCATATTTAATGAACTTGTTTCGATTAATTCAATATTAGTTAAATATTATAATTTATTTTTATTAAATATTTCATATACTCAGTTGCAAATCACACTACATATGAAGACTATTAATGCTACTGTAGTGTATATTACTTATGTCTGTCGACATAAGTAGTATGTAACACCAATCGAAAATGAAAAACCTGGCAGGAAAAAGTTAAAAAGATCGAGTTGATGAGAATAAAAAGGAAAATGAATTATGAACTAGAAGAATTATACGGAATGTGAAGGACAAACGATGGAAATTTGAAAATGAATTATTCAGTGTTTGGTTCTTATATTTCAGCAAGATACTCTGTATTTTGGTTGTCTTCAACTAAATTCTCATTTACCACACCATTATCACATCTGTCTAAACCCACTTAGGTTCAGACAGACAATATAACCTTTGATAGTTTTGTGCCTTAACCCCTAATTCCTACTAATCTTATTTAAATGCAGAGTACTAGGTAAAAGTAGTCAACCAATCGATGAGTAGTCAACATTGAACGATTAAAGTGATTAGGATATGTAGTGCATATAACCAACCACTGTCTACCTTAACGAACAATGTTATAGGAGTAGTTGGAAGCAATTTAAAAGCAACCAGTCTATAAAGTTATTGACTGCCGAACTGAATTGTTTAAATGGGTGTAAGCTTCCTTGTTAGGATCAGCGAGATTAGATACCTTGAATGACATGAGCCAAAATTAGTTATAATGACTCATATATCCCATTCTTTGTTTTAAAATATTCATGATTTTTATTGATCAATTTTATTCTTTCTTCGCGAATCATATTGCCTATGCTTACAAATTTTATGCTACTGTTATTTCTATTAGTTTGATGGTTTTTTGATAATTTAATCTTCCTGTATTCATATGGTATGGAAATTTGAACTGATATATATATATATATATATATATATATATATATATATATATATATATATATATATATATATATATATATATATATATATTAAATATAGTATTCTGGATATAACTCTTTTGTTTCCCTCTTTCTCACGATTAATTATAAAAAAGGTTGGTAGTCCATACTGGATGGCTCCAGAAATGATAGCTGGTCAACCATATGATAATTCAGTAGATGTATATTCATTTGGTACAATTATGTGTCAATTAATTTTACGTTCAAATGCTGACCCAGATAATTTAATACGTGATGTAAAAACATTGTGTATAGAAATGGATGAATTAATGAAATTAGAAAATTTTCCTATTAATACACCACCCATATTATTAAACATGACAAATCAATGCATTTCATTAGATCCAAGAAATAGGTAGGATTTTTGTTTCAAATTCACTCATAATTTCATTTATATATTCATTGTGTAAATTAAATGAAGACGATTAGTTATGTGGATCAAGTTTACATCAAGAAAAACAGATTTTTAAAATACACAAATGATTCTTCATACAAATGTAGCATATATTAACTTACTTGTCAAGTTCAAGTTAATGTCCTCGACCTTAAACCGTATCAGTTAATGTGATGTTTAGCCACACTTGTGTCTGTCTGGTGAATTTAAAGTAATTGGCTTATATATACGAATATTCGTCAAGATTAGAACGAATAGTTTGACAGATATTGTGCGCCGAGTATAAAGAAGTCATTATAAATTATATTTGAAATAATCTCAGCGATTGAAATGTTAAATAATTCCAACGTTTCGTCCAGCTAACTTGTCTGGACTTCTTCAGGGTAATAATCAAAATCATCAAAGAATTGGCTTATATGTAGTGAGTGGTCATATGTCAAGCCCACATAGATTATTCTCAGTTTTGTTGTGCATTTCTTACCCTATTCATCACATGTCTGTACTATCGATTAACGCTTGGCTAAATTGAGCTGGCTCACTCACATTCCTCATTGCATATCATTATGGTTTGCTTCGCTTTCCGATCAACGATTGTACGAAATGTATGTATTCAAAAATCGATTCTCGTATTTGACTTATTTAATTCTGTAATACGCTAACGTGAGTTAAGTCGATGTTTATATACGACATGTATATTTCGACAACAATCAGAACCGATTTAACTTGAGTCAGATACCGGGCCACTAAACATGTTTTTAATCTAAAAGTGTTTAGTTGCAGGATGAGTGCTTTTACGTCGTCATATGCTACCACTTTACTTTCATATACTTACTGTTTAGTAATTTTTTCTTAGCTTCGTCAAACTCACTTTTTTTCATCAGATAGGGGTTTTGTGGATATTATAGTAATGTGATAGTCGAATTCATGAGTTAATTGAAGCTCCTCAATAGTATGCATCCACAATCCGCTATCGCGAGGTTCAAACCCAGGACTTATCAGTCTCGCGCGCGATTGTTTAACCTCAAAACCGTTGAGCCGGCATCCAACGGTGTTAGTGTCTAACTTCAAATTTCTTTCTTGTTTATTAGCGTTCGTAATTTACTTCCTCTCCACTAAGAAGTACTTTAATAATTACTCTCTCTATTTTGATGATTGGAAAATCAATATACTGTCGAGCATCAGTTGGCTTGAGACATAGCTCAACAGTTATTCTATGCCACTATTCAATAATTGCTTCACATCTGATATAGTTGAATTTTAGCAGTCATAGTATCCATATTTTCTTCAGGTTGTCTCTACAGGATATTACTATTGTAAACTTATCAACCCTGAACAGGTTTAACATTTTTTCAAGAAGTGAGTTATTAGAATTTCTCCACAATTGACAATGTTGACGTGGAACATGCAAACACCAACCACACAACTAGGCACATCAACTAAAAATATTGAGTCAATAAAATAAGTTACTAGTGAGTTGTGGAGAAATTCTAATAGCTGACGTCTTTTTGTATTACACACTGGTGACAATTTAAACATTAACTAAAGGTACATTCAACAATATAAGTTTCTTTATTAGGTGAATATTAGTTTCGAATGTGGTTCCTTGATCTGTACAACGAAGCACAACGCTAACTGTCAACACACGAACATAATACGAGGTGGAATCGGAAAAACATTTTTTATGTTTAAACAACACACTAAGTAAAACATTCATGAATAGGTGGTGCAAATCTCCAAGCAAGCAGCTGCTTACAATCATTCAATCTCACTTAGCTTATGCGGTTGTAGCATTATTCTATAGTGTTTTCATTATCGGCCTGTTCATAAGATAAATAATAAAACATATCAATTAACTGTAAATCTTTCGTCCTCCAATGTGTTTTCGTGGCTGTTACAGGACCACCTTTTAATTTCTCTCAAAAGAAAAATTAAATACGCAGTAATCCTGATTGGGTTTATCTATAAAAGTGACAGCTCATCAAAACATTAAACCATTAAATCCTAAAATATAATAACCAAGCGCCCCTAAAAATAAATTTATGCCCATTGAACAAGTTAATAGTTTATTGAACTCAGTAGCTCAATGGATAATGCGTTGGGATTTGAAGCGAGTTCGCGTTCGGGTTTCAGTATGAAAAAAAACCTACACTGCAATGCAGGCACATCTAGCTGGCGAGTCGTAAATAAGATAAAACATTAGTCTTCGATTCCGTTGCTATCCACAACCAGACTTTAATTAATACTTTTGACTAAATGGCAGTTCGTCCAGGATGCATATATGTTACAATCCAACTTGACAAAAACATTTAACTTTTATTAGTAATAATAGAAGTAGTTTTCTTTTATATTTCAGACCTTGTTTCGATTCATGTGTTGGACTACTGGAACAATGTTTACTATACTTACTATCCGGACATCAATCACAACAGGTTATAGTTCGAAATTCTTCTGAAGACATTTCCACAGTTAATGATAACAACAAGGAAAGTGTAGATTCTGATCATCAGGATTTTGTTGTTAATAAACATTAATCAATAGTATATATATTCTTGTATACATATTTGTATTTATCATTTTATGTGATAATAATTTCTTTAGCAAGGAAGATGTTTGTAGATTTTCTTTTTAGTTAAGTAACTTGGTTATATTTTTCACTTGATCTTAGCTATAAATTCCACTCGAATCAAATGATTTCATATGCGTACACTACTGTTGTATGGATTTTCATTATCGGAATATTATATTTCTATGTTATTACACACGAAGAAATAAATCTCTATCTGTTGGTTATTTACGTTTACACGTATGGGATGTTAATTTACCATAGACGAATATCTACACTAGGTTTCTTGCCAGTGTCTATTCTACAGAACTTCAACACAACTCAAGTCAATAACACGTGATTAGCCTAACTAGAATGGAAATATACTCCTATACCAAAACCCGACACAATCCAACAACAATGAGCAATCAATAATAAGGATAGGGGAATATATAACTCATCTGATACCTGTCAGACTATGTACATGCCTGACTAAACAGACAACCAATCATCATCATTCTCGCCCACACATCGTTATCTTAATGTGAAATTAAGTTGTGTATACTGTTACCCTGTTACCAAGTCATCCTTTATTTTTATTGGTTATGATTTATACTGAATTGATAAATAGAATGAAATTATAACTCGTCACGTATTACAAGATTCAACAAATTAAATGTAATCACTAGATTTTGCTGTATTAGTGTTTGGAGCCATTTGGTAGAAACATAGGACTGATCATTTTCTTTTGATTTTATTGAGTTCTCTAATCTTAGTGATTGCAAAGTTTTCGTTGCTGTTCTGGACAACATGTTCAGGGTCTTCTTGATGTAAAAGTGCCTTGTCTAATTACTATTCCACAAGCGCTCAATCAACCTGTCCTAATGAATTTTTCGTAGTTTCGTTAACTTTTGGTTTGTATTTCTATTTGATTGACGTCTTTTCACGTGACTGGTTGGCTTTTTTTGTATAGATTAAGTTTATATGGAAAGGGCTGTGGCATGATCCCAGAAATTTTCTGTCATTCTTTGAATATCCGTGTTTCAAAATTAGCTTTTAAGCTATCAAGTATTTCATAATTCAAAAATAATACCTAGCTTTTACCTTGTGAATAGCTTTGTATAGGATGCTTTTATTTTGAAGTCAAATCACTGAGGATTTATTTTTAGAACTACCTGTTCTCTTGATACTAATATTCAGAACTTGAAGCATCCTGTGTACTTTACTTTTGGACTGGAGGTCTCGATCCACAAAATAGGATTCAAGCGACACAAAGCGACTCTTTGACCACTTAGTTGTGAAAATGTTGATAAAGTTTATTAGGAAAACCACTATCCTTTTGGAATCTAACTTCTTGTTAAGCAATACACAATCAACTTTACCAGCAAGAAAGAGGAAGCTAGGAACAGTCTGTAGATAACGAGAAGCCAGTGAGTTTGACTTACATAGACTAGTAAGTCATTTGACAATCTCACATTTTCGGCTTTTATTAAAATTGTGAAAACGGAAATTTACCTAAGAGTCCCTTATTAGTCACGGAAGTAGAGTGAAAATGTTTTAAAGTTTCCCATTGGAATCCGACATTCAGGTGCGTGTTACAAAAAACACTAAAATGTCCACTGATATTTATGCTGTTATATCGAACGGAAGTGATGGATTATTGGTTGCTTTGTAACCTTTTTCGCCAAGCCAACTAAATTAGTTAAGTGTTTTGTAAGATGACAGCTTCTAATTCACTAGTTGCTGTATCAGGTCATGTGAAGACCGGTGTGTCGATCTTTTTTCAGTTTGGATTTATAGATTGACTTCTAATTATAAATTGGCAGTCTGATCACCTCAGTCACTTGATTAGTTCTGTTAACCGTTTTTGGTACGTAATGGGTTGGTGGAGTGTTGAAGCTCATAGCTAACATCACGAAATAACCGTTGAAAACCAGAAAGCACTGGACAGCTGTATCATCCTCATGTGGGACTCCTCGGAAGTGCGTATCTACAACCCTACTGGGGATCGAACCCCAAATCTCCAGGTCTCGTAACGAGCAATTACACCAGATGAGACAGTGTCTCATGATTTGGATTTATAACTTCACTAAATTCACAATATCACATAGCCATCATCCATCGTCTTTAGTGGTTATGGCTTCTCACTAGAACACCAGGCACCATCCCTTAAGATTAAACACTAGTGAACACAGCTACCCAGCGATTCTTGGCTGTCTAAATTAAGTCACTTCATGATGTAAGTTACTTGTGATGTAATGATGATAGCCATTGTAATAAATCTAAAAACCGAACTAGGAAATCTTCTGAACTACTATGTCAATACTGTACAACGTTATAATTTTGTGTCTTGTATTTAATCTAATCATTCAAATTTACTTCTAGTTTACCAATGTTACTCAAACTATAGATACCGTATAATTTGTGGTATTGATTTTTCCTACACTAATCAACTTTCACCACGTATCAGCATTTCTTTAATATGTCGATTTTATTCTATTTAAATATACAATGACTCGGAACAAATTGACGTAAATTGGCAGAGTGGAATATATATATATATATATGTATACATATATTGTAACCTTGCACATTCCATTCTATTATAGTTTACGTCAATTTGTTCCGAGTCATTGTGTCGGTGTTTCTTGAGTGGTTTTTGTCAGTTTTATTTGTAAATTGTAACCATGTGACTCATTCATGTACTATTACTACTGTATATTAGAAATCTGAATAAAACAACACGTGTTTGTTTTGATGGCATAGAGAAGGAAAACCATATGACGTGAACATCTTTTATTGGTGTATTTCTCAATACACAACAAATGTGAATCAATTGTATAGGCTTGACTATAGCTGCTGCCTCGACGTAGAGATCGGGGTTGCGTATTATGACAATTTAGTCGACCTACATTAGCTAGAACACTTGTTTTCGTAGGTTTTACAATAACAGATAGGTCGGTCGAAGAACGGTAAGACTGAAATAAGAAACTTAAGGTACGAAGATAAAGTCATACTGCTCAATGTACAAGGGGGAATTGTAAAGAGACAACTGTCTTCATACCTCTAACAGCACTTGGGATCACTTTGTTCATAATCAACTAAGTGTGTAGAATGTTAAATCATAGCTCGGTAGTTTATTATACAATTGACTGTTTGAAATAATATAGGGTTATTTAATGAGAAAGAACTGTTCAAGTCAGTCTGAAAAATTGTATTAATTACAAATTATTTATTTAGTTAGAAACATTTGACGTTAATGTATAGGCTGATGAATAACATTCTGACGTTGATATTAAACAATAAAGGTTTTGGGTTTTTAGTATGCAACATAAATTTTCGAGTTGAAGTACATTCAGTTGGTAAATTCCATATAAGACGAAATAGATGTTGAATCCACTGCTAATTATTGTCAAAACTACAATCAGCATGGTATAAATTGTTGCCGTTAGAATAAAAAATGTAATTCTTTCTTAAAATAAATCTGTCTTTGTCCTGATTGAATTTATTTATGGTTAATTTTGTTAATTAGGTGTACAAACTTCAATAATGTTCGAGAATTAACAGACTTTATTGTAATGATGTAAGATTAAATCATAAACTGTAAATTCTATAAGTTCTCTTTTGCGCAGCAAATTAATTCATAAAAAATGTGCTGAAAAGATGGATGGTGGCCAGAAGTGGGATCCAGGACGCACGTTTCGTCCTATTTGGGACTCGTCAGCTGGATGTACCTGCATCTCAGAATTGATGTTCACTCCAAGACTCGAATCCAATACCGTTCGCTTCAAACGCCACCTCGTTGTCCACTTGTCTACTGAGTCGTGATAGCCACTTGATTGTTCAATGAAATGAAGTTTAAATTCATTTTGTATCGTTTATTTGAATCTTCCCATTGATGTTTAGGACTACGATTGACCAGTGTTGAGTGTCTGAGTGAACAATTCTGAGATGCAGGTACATCCAGCTGACGAGTCTTGCTATTGCTTATAGTCAATTATTTTTACGTAGATATTTTTAATGAAACGTCGAAATGAGTGTTGAATATCTTGAAATTATACGTGTGATCAGATTGTTAGGAATGTAATTACAATTGATTGATCACTGGGTGGTGACCAATGTCATGCGTGTCTAGCCCTTATTATTAGTGCAGATCGAATACTATCGATCATGTTGCAATGTGGCCACCAGTCTAAGTGACTCGACACTGCGGGCACTATTGTGAGATTAGATGGTGGTTGGAGGTAGTCGGCAGGAAACCCGGATAGCTCAGTGGTAATGTCTCTGACTGTGAAGCTGGGTGACACGGGATCGAATCCGCCAGGGAGCATCAGTTCCCTCAAAGATTACAGGTACACCTTGCTGACGAGTGCCGAGTAGCACGAAACCCGGGTCCAGGGTTTCCCGTCGACTACCTCCAACCACCATCTAATTTTAGGAATGTATTGCACCAATATATCACATAGTTCTGATAGTCATCTCTTTATCACACCATTCAAGTTTACCGAAAAGTCAGTTGTCAATCTTACATTACACAATTTAAAACTTTAATGAAATAGGAAAAACCAACAATATTTCAATTGCCTATTTGATTGTCATATACCTTTTTATTACTATTTAAATACATAGGTGTATAGTCTTAGTGAATAAAGTGAGTCCCCATAAGCATTCACGATTAGGATGTAGGATTGTGTCATATCTAAAGGGGAAGATGAAATATAAAGTAAACTAAGCAATTATACTTGAATAGATTGCCGTCAGTTTCCGCCAGCAGTTCTTCCGTACTTCAATAAGCTTCATAGATAACGGAAGACCATGTGGTAACTCATGATTGACATGTTTAATCAAATATAATGTCCCTATTCGAAATCCTTTGAATGATGTGTTCTGATTGGCCCAACAACTAAACCTATGGTAATACTACAATATGCCGGTGGCCTTGAAAAGCCTATCAAAAGTGAGATAGTCGACATTGAATATTAGAGCGAATTTGACAGGCTATTACGAGTGGCTCATTGTTGAGATTTGTTTTTGACTATAATTCGTCTTTTTAAAAGACTAGATGATGATTTTCTTGTGGAATAAACTGAAATCAGTATTTTTGGGTTAGGAGTGCGAAGATTACAAGCATTAGGTGCTAGGAATTAGATTAAAGAGTGATAGGGTTAATTTACTTACACCTGTTACTCCTCGCAAAGGAGTATAGGCCGCTCACCAGCATTCTCCACCCAACCATGTCCTGGACAATCATTTCCAGCTCTTTCCAGTTGTTATTCATCCTTTTCATATCCGCTTCTATTTCCCGACGTAATGTGTTATTTGGCCTTCCTCTTTTCCGGATTTCAGGTTAGGGCTTTCCTCTTGATGCAGTTTGATGATTTCCTCAATGTATATCCAATCAATTTCCATCTCCTTTTCCTAATTCCCTCTTCCGCTGGAAGCTGGTTGGTTATCTCCCACAGAAGGCTGTTGCTGATAGTATCCGGCCAATGGATATTGAGTACCTTGCGTAGACAGCTATTGATAAATACTTGTACCTTCTTGATGATGGTTACATTAGTTCTCCACGTTTTAGCTCCATATAGTAGAACTGTTTTGACGTTTGTATTGAAGATTCTGACTTTGATATTGGCTGACAGACAGTTGTTTTGAATTCCATATGTTCTTCAGTTGTGGGAATACTGTCCTTACTTTGCCAATCCTGGCCTTTATGTCTACATCTGAACCTCTTTGTTCATCGATGATGCTTCCCAGGTATGTGAAGGATTCCACATCTTCCAGAGTTTCGCCATCAAGAGTGATTGGATTGGTGTTCTCCGTGTTGTATATGAGGACCTTGATTTTCCCCTTGTGTATGTTGAGGCCTACTGATGCAGAGACTGCTGCTACGCTGGTTGTTTTTATCTGCATTTGTTCGTATGTATGCGATAAGAGGGCTAGGTCATCTGCAAAGTCCAAATCGTCTAATTGGTTCTGAGCTGTCCATTGTATACTGTGTTTTCCCTCAGATGTCGAGGCCTTAAGAATTTATTTTAATGGCAGCTTACAATACTAAGACTTCCTGTTTGATTTATCGATACTTACCCTGAATGCAGCCATTAATCGGCTTTTAATGCTCTATAATTCTACCAACTTTTTATATTTTAGGACTTTCACAAAAGCTACATTTTGAATAGTTAATCACGAGGTCTGTTTCGTATAGTTTTAACAAATCGTGAACAGATCACGGAAACATGTTTGTTATAAGGATCCATTTTTTATTGGGTCTTATGAAGGTGTGTAGTATTGTATTTTGATATTATGGGGCGTCTGAAACTGAATCCGTAATATCTCAATGAACGCCAAATTCGTAACAAAAGCATATCTTCTGTATGTAATTTATAGACTAGTCCATCAAACAAAACAATTAATTTTAGACGCTGAAATCGGTGGTCTAATAGTTAAGCGCTCGCGCGCGAGACCAATAGGTTCCGGGTTCGAATCTCGTAGGGGGCTAGGTCGTGGATGCACGATGCTGAGGAGTCTCATAGTAGGACGAAAAGACCGTCCAGTACTTTCAGGTTTGCGAATCAACAGCTACATTCCTTTCTGTTCAGGATTCTCTAGCTTCTTTCTATACTCTGTGCTTGAGTGCAGAAGCCAGCCTGTACTATCTATTTCAAATAGATTTGGTTTGTATGCAGATATAGTGGTCCAGATCACACCATAAAATGGGAAATAACAATTAGACATGGACAAGCTAAAAAGGGCTGTAAATAACAGACTAACAAAAAAATAATAATACTAAGACGTACGACGAGTGAAGCGGAGGCTTACGATAGATGGGACATACATATATATTAATCTAGTTACTCAGCAATCATATAAAAAGATTATAATCAATAATAATTCGGAAAACCAGTCCCAACTTTCACAATATCCGCATCGTCATCAATACACTGAAAATTGCATTTCATTTTCGGAAACTATCATAATTAATTATTAATTCAGATAACCAGATTTAGTAAACAGAAAGCCAACTGGGGAAACAAAATCAATTACTCTGATAATAGGAAAGTGAGGAAACCGAATGGGTAGAATAGTAAGATAAGATGAAAAACAAATAGGTTTGCATTATGGCTGAGATCAACACTACATCAATCTTAATTTTCATATGTTAATTTAATGAGGGAACTTATATTTCTTCAAAACATCTTGGTGAATAAACAATCACAGATTATTTGCTCAATGAGCGATTGCATAGCATAGAAAAATAAAGACTAGAGGGTAAATTTAAATTATACATTCCCCACACCGACATCGGTTTTACTACGCAATTCATTGCTCAATTAAACGAATACCCGCCATATTCCGCCTGTAAATTCATATATCAATTTACATATACATGCTTTGTCGCATAAGTTGGAGAGACAGAAAGGTGATCTTCTGCATGTTTTATTGAGCGTATACAGTATTATAGTTTCAGGCTAGTGATGCAAATAACATTAATTCATTTATTAGTCAAAATTGCTTTATAATTGTACTAAGTTGATGGAATTATTATTGATTTTAAGAATCAGTCACGTCCATTGTATATAAACAACTATCAAGATGGGATTTTGTATATTTTGAAAGTAATTCCACATCGCCAATTGACGTCAATTAAATTAGTCTAAACATCCGATTTAATCGAAATAACATAAAGTTATCTCGTAAATATGTTTTGGTTATATGATCATAGCATAAACATAATTCCAACACTCATTAACAAGATGGTCATATTTCACATACTCGCCTTCAAATATAACTGATATCATTCTTAACTGATATTCTTGACCACATTGTTAAACGTACATCGTTTTTTGATATATATATATATATATATATATAAAATCCAAACTGTTGCTACTACCTTGACGCGATAGTTGGGCTTGCCTATCGTGAACTAATCGAGCTATACTGGCTGGAACGGTCGTTCCTCGAGGTCCTACCATGCCAGACAGGTCGGTTGAAGAGCGGTAAGACCAAAAGCAGTAAACGCAAGGTCTGAGGGCGGCACTAAGGTGTTTTCCTCAAACAACCAGCAATGCTGCCTTCCCACGAAGAAAGAGCAGGGTCAGAAAATGTCGACCCTAAAAATGCACACCTCGCCCTATCCCACGGATATCCATCTCTGGCGGTAAGGTCTCAGACAATCGTTTGTTTTTAGCAAACAATAATTTTAGACATAAGGAGAGAAGTTGTCTAACATGGAAACCCCCTGCATCAAACCAACGATAGACTGAAATAGACCATAGTGTCATCATTCATCGTTAAAGAGGTTCGATAGAGGACTGTAGCTCGTTCTGGAATACCTGCTTAGACTCCAATCAAGCTCTAATACGAGCACGCATCTGCTTGCGCCTCATTGGACGCAGAAGAACCACAGTAAGAGTTGAACTCGGTGACGAGGAAGCCTAAAGTGGATTCCAAAAACAACTGAGGTCACACTTAGGTAGCTCTGAAAACAAGGTTGACACCAATTGCTTGGAGAGAAACACAAACAGTTGTGGAAACAGCAGCGATATCTATCAGTGATTTAAATCAGTATTATCATAAACCTACGCTTGGAAATATCGTCCTCGTCGACTGGATGTTCGGGAATCGTTCTCATCCTTGGAGGTCCACTTATCGACTTAGAAAACGCAGATGACATAGTCCTGTTTAGTAAAAACGCTGATAGCATGCAGTGTCTTTTGGTAGCACTTAGCAACAGGCCAGTCTGTTTGGGTCGCGTTCCTCCCGCTCTAAATGGGAGTTTATCGTTCAGGATTGGCCCGTGTCAACATCTGAACTAAGGATAGGTGATATAGTCGAACACGTCGACAACGTCACTTATCTTAGAAGTCTGATCAGCCCTAATGAGCTGATGTCTAACGAAATCTCAGCACGGATTCAAAAAGCTCGTTTGGCTTTTGTCAACTTACGTCACCTACGGCAAAGGAGAGATATCTGTCTTTCAATTAAGGGACAAGTATACTACACAACAATTCGCTCTGTTCTATATTACTGCTGTGAAACGTGGCCATTAAGAGTAGAAGATACTCGTAAGTTACTAGTATTTGACCATATACGTCTTAGAAATATTGCTCGCATCTGCTTGGATCACCGGGTAAGCAATAGTGAGGTTGTGAATCTTCATCAACTGAGATGGTTGAGACACGTGTTACGTATGCCCGAACTCCGATTACCACGACGCACAATATTGACTAGTGTTGTGGATGAAGGGGAGAAAGTACAGGGCAGCCAAACCAAAACGTGGCATCAGTGCTTGAAGTCACTAACTTCTAGTCTTAGCCATGTTGGTAGATGCGTACTACTTGATTGGGGTCCACGTGACTATCGTAATCAATGGTTGGAGACTCTGTGTGACATGGTTTAGGTGTATAAGCTCTCTGTCTTTCCTTAAATTATGAGATTAAAATTGCTTTATATCTTTCTTCCTGTACTATATCCGTATATGCAATCTTTAATATATAACTACCATTGAATTAACTACTTTTATGGATTTGGTATTCATCTTGTTGTGCTAATGAGGTATGGCAACTTGGACCGATGTATATATGTGATTGGTCCTATGTTGTAGCTGACTGACTGATATATGATATGCATGAATATTTCAAATGATGATAGAGAACATTTTAGGTTGAGGATGTTGAAGTTGATGTGATCGCTACTATGGGTGCATTGTGAAGCTTCGATTCTTTTCTGAACAATACAATCAGAACGCATTTTTCATTCGAGAGATCACAACAACTTTAACATGAATATTGGTCAAACGATTAAGTTGAAGATGTGAATTTTATAATAGAAAAGTTTTTCTAACTGGATATTACGAAGTATATAATATATGAAAACCTGAAGAATAGCCATTATTTAAGTAAATAAAGGTAACAAAGAATTTAAACATGTTCAAACGTTGGTTTCATTCATCAGTTCAAATAAAATTACGAAGAGTGAACTATTGTATAACTTGGTATAATTATACCAAGATATAAACGGTAGGAAAATTTTTTCGAAAATGTTGATCATCTAGTAAAAAAATCTTGGATTAAACAGTATGTTATTCGTGATCATCAATATTATTGAGATGAAAAATCGAATTCGTTATTTCCTATTTGTGGCCTCGGTCGGAATCGTTAAATTTTCTGTTACCAAGAAATATGGCTTTTGATAGTATTCGATCACACATAGAAGTAGTTACAGTAGGAAATCGGTTAGTCAGAATGTTACACAGTTATCCTCTTTGTGTTGCTTAGTGTGAAGATAAAACGAATAAAATTTATTGACAGAGAGAATAGCAGTGAATTAGTTTGAATAGCTCTATATATATATACACGAAAACAGAACTAAAAGTACACACAAAAAACATTACCACTAGGCACAGTCAGCAATTGAAAGTCTATTGAATAAATATAAGAAATAGTCAACTATGCAGTTCTCAAAAAAAAATACAAAACGAAATGAAACTAAACAAATTTGGAAAAAAACTGACATACACACAAATATTTATAACTGTTTAATTGCCTCTTCTATCGCACCATGCAAGTCTGGCACATTCTCATTTATAACCCAACTGGGTAAAGGTGCAGAATAGCACCAATCAGATCCACTATAACGATAAGCGTGCAGTCGTAGTATTAAGTTATTCATTTCTGGATCCTTGAATGTCAATTTACAATCAGGGCATAAGGGATCTTTACACAATTGCAGACGTTCTAGCACATTTGGATCAAGAGAACTTTCCAACTTTTCATTGGTCTAAAGAAAAAACCAAAGATAAATCACCTTTAAGAGTGATACGATCCAATATAAATAATGATAAAGTAGTGATAATTGACAATCTCAAATATAAGTAGTTAGTTGCGTACTTTGGTGGACCAGTGACTTAGTGATCAAGGAGTTAGAATTTCAACGATTAGGTTACAGGGGTTCAAGTCCCTCTCTGGTTTTTTGAGTTTGGGTAGCCGCATAGTATCGCCACTACCACTAACACATAAGGTTTGACTAAAAGCTGAGTACACAAATTTGTACTTGGTGAATGAGCTACATTATAACAAACTTAAGTGACTTTTACTGAGGCATTTAGTTTTAGACTAAGACAAATAAGCAAACAAATAGTATAATTAATTTACAAAGTACATGTTTATGTACTTAGCTTCGAATTACAATGTTTATATATGACTTATTGATGCCAACTGATTGATCACGTATGAGTAGGTCTGACAAAGTAGCATGTGTACATGATGAGTTTATAGTGAGAAAAAACAAATAATAATTTTTCATTGCATCACGGTGTACTACTATAAACAGAAGCCTGTTGTATCAATTAACTCGACAGGATATGTAAAGATGACTGAATATATACGTAGGACTGATGAAACATTTTTGTTGAGAAAAACACTCTTGATCACATACAAACATCCATATGATATTTTTATTTTCATCTGCGACTGTTGAAATAATGTAATTTTAACCCTATCTCGATGAAATTAGGGATCGGAATAATCTAAACAAAATATATATTGTAAAGCGGGAGCCAAACTGAGGTGCACATAACAGATATGATATTCTTTGCGTTAATTCAGTGTGAAACTCGTAGCTTGGGTTTTTGAAGTAATTAAGTGTATTTCTTCCGCGTGATAATTACGAACCAATCATTAAGTGTGAGTAAAATCAGTATAGAAATGAGTGTATTCATGAATAATTTCAAGTTGTTTGAGGTCAAATAAACCTTCATAACCAGTCTTTGTATAGTGACTAAGCATAGTTGGGTTTTGGAACCAAGCAAGGTACACTGGGAACTATCCTAACTATCATTAAAGAATTATAGGTCTACGCAAGATATATCTATCGGCCGGATACTATCAGGAATAATCTACTGTGGCAGAGAACAAACCAGCTTGCAACTGAAGGGCAATTTGAATTGTTATCACGTGTGATCCGCCTATTAGAGAGCAGTTTATTATCGATCGAAACAGTGACGCATAAAATACGTGCGAGCAGCCTAGAGTTCTGATTGGCCCTGCTTGCCTGTCTAGCCCAGCCAGTTGAGTCCAGAACACAAGTCTCAGCCTCTGTGATATGAATCATTATATTTCAAACATACACTGTTTATATAGCAATCAAACAGACCACAACGTACCATAAAATAGAAAATAACATTTGTACAAGATTTAACCTTCGGGAAATGACAAATAAATATTGACCAATAGGGAAATGACACGTTGGAAGAATGTTGACCAATGGGGAAATGACACTATTCCTCATTCCGGAATAGCACTAGATAATTTCTGGGGTATTTTCTGAATACCCCAACATGAATTAAATTTGGAACAAATGTGGAATGCAACCTTTAAAGGATTACTGAAAACATTTTAATAATCCAGTCTGAAAGTTTTACGCTGAGTACCTACTTACCTGGACGCTGCAACATATATACTTTGAATTATTTAGATGAAATGTTTGCTTTGAAGGGTAAAAAAATCTAGATTACGCTCAGATTAATGAAATCGTGAAGTAACTGGTTCCGATTACTGTTATTCTAAGTACTATTTAAATGTTAACATGTCCAAAGAATTCTAAGTGCAACCATTCATGAATAAATTATAAGGATTTGTTTGTAAAGAGAAAGTTTCAGAAACGATAGAGAAATCACAATTCAGAACAATTAGTAGCAATGAAAACTAGCATAATATGAAATTCAAGAATAGTCCTACCTCTTGGATTCTGTACTTTTCCCTGTTACGAGAATCACTCAATCTTTGGACAACTTCTTCCAGAGTCATTCCATAATTAGCACCTTTCCCTTTTAATTCACCCCAATCAGCTGAATTGTATAGAGGATCATCAACAATTGGATAACCTAAACAGAAATAACACGGGGATAGCAGTCATCATCACAAGCAGAAACGAAATCATTTTTACTCAAACAAGACATTAACACAGAACGAATTGTAGTGTCAGTTACTATGTTAAGTAAACCCACACAACTTATTCTAGCTTCTGGATAGCCCAATTTATCCATTCTTCTTGAGTTACATTTTGAAATTGTCAATTATTTGCTTATCAAACTTGACTGTTCTTATATGAGCATACGTGTATGTACACCTTTTATCCTACTCATCACATGTCTGTAGCTTATTTTTGTGTGACTGTAAATATTGATTAACGCTTGGTTAAATTGATTTGGCTCACATGTCTTTTCCACCGCGCATCATTTCGTTTCGCTTCGTTCTTCCGATCGTCTGCCTGAATCAATAGTTGTACAAAATATACGTATTTGAAATGATTTGTCGTATTTGACTTATTTTAATTCCGTTACTTACTAACGCGAGTTAAGTCGATAATTATAAACGACGATAACTAGGATGTATATCTAAAAAATAATCATTCATACGATCTAAGTGGAGTCAGATATAGGGCCACTAAAGTATATTGGAGAAGTTGGGACCTTCATGCATATTTTCCGGACTATTATTATTTATATTGTTGTTGTATAATTAATCGATAACTTTATTGCTGCATTTTTACATCGCCCTAATTGTAAACTTTCGGCAGATTGTCACTAATATCCTTTACTTTTCTGTAATTATTGTTAGTTAATTATGTACTGCATGTTTCGACCCTCTACCACTTACGGTATGATTGTGCTTAAAATGTAATTTATTGTTTGACGTGTTGTGTGGTTAGACATTTTCAGAATATTTAGTCTGCTTTCGGTCATTGTCTTCTGATTGGCTACAGGGTTAGAAGGGGCGCGAGCACCAATAAGCGTTAAGGTCTAGATTATGTAAACTCATGAAATAGGCCCCCGGTCCAGCTGACAATATAGTACGTAGTATCGATTATAATCTTCAGATTTAACAAACTGGCTTTCCCGAAAAACGTTATTGCTGTATAACTTTGATTAATTCAAAACACCATGGCAAGTAATGAATTTGGTTGGGCGGCATTTATCCGTAATTTATACCTATTAATTATTGTAGTAACTATATCAGTAGTAGTAGTAGTAGTAGTAGTAGTAGTAGTAGTAGTAGTAGTAGTAGTAGTAGTAGTAGTAGTAGTAGTAGTAGTAGTAGTAGTAGTAGTAGTAGTAGTAGTAGTAGTAGTAGTAGTAGTAGTAGTAGTAGTAGTAGTAGTAGTAGTAGTAGTAGTAGTAGTAGTAGTAGTAGTAGTAGTAGTAGTAGTAGTAGTAGTAGTAGTAGTAGTAGTAGTAGTAGTAGTAGTAGTAGTAGTAGTAGTAGTAGTAGTAGTAGTAGTAGTAGTAGTAGTAGTAGTAGTAGTAGTAGTAGTAGTAGTAGTAGTAGTAGTAGTAGTAGTAGTAGTAGTAGTAGTAGTAGTAGTAGTAGTAGTAGTAGTAGTAGTAGTAGTAGTAGTAGTAGTAGTAGTAGTAGTAGTAGTAGTAGTAGTAGTAGTAGTAGTAGTAGTAGTAGTAGTAGTAGTAGTAGTAGTAGTAGTAGTAGTAGTAGTAGTAGTAGTAGTAGTAGTAGTAGTAGTAGTAGTAGTAGTAGTAGTAGTAGTAGTAGTAGTAGTAGTAGTAGTAGTAGTAGTAGTAGTAGTAGTAGTAGTAAGTAGTAGTAGTAGTAGTAGTAGTAGTAGTAGTAGTAGTAGTAGTAGTAGTAGTAGTAGTAGTAGTAGTAGTAGTAGTAGTAGTAGTAGTAGTAGTAGTAGTAGTAGTAGTAGTAGTAGTAGTAGTAGTAGTAGTAGTAGTAGTAGTAGTAGTAGTAGTAGTAGTAGTAGTAGTAGTAGTAGTAGTAGTAGTAGTAGTAGTAGTAGTAGTAGTAGTAGTAGTAGTAGTAGTAGTAGTAGTAGTAGTAGTAGTAGTAGTAGTAGTAGTAGTAGTAGTAGTAGTAGTAGTAGTAGTAGTAGTAGTAGTAGTAGTAGTAGTAGTAGTAGTAGTAGTAGTAGTAGTAGTAGTAGTAGTAGTAGTAGTAGTAGTAGTAGTAGTAGTAGTAGTAGTAGTAGTAGTAGTAGTAGTAGTAGTAGTAGTAGTAGTAGTAGTAGTAGTAGTAGTAGTAGTAGTAGTAGTAGTAGTAGTAGTAGTAGTAGTAGTAGTAGTAGTAGTAGTAGTAGTAGTAGTAGTAGTAGTAGTAGTAGTAGTAGTAGTAGTAGTAGTAGTAGTAGTAGTAGTAGTAGTAGTAGTAGTAGTAGTAGTAGTAGTAGTAGTAGTAGTAGTAGTAGTAGTAGTAGTAGTAGTAGTAGTAGTAGTAGTAGTAGTAGTAGTAGTAGTAGTAGTAGTAGTAGTAGTAGTAGTAGTAGTAGTAGTAGTAGTAGTAGTAGTAGTAGTAGTAGTAGTAGTAGTAGTAGTAGTAGTAGTAGTAGTAGTAGTAGTAGTAGTAGTAGTAGTAGTAGTAGTAGTAGTAGTAGTAGTAGTAGTAGTAGTAGTAGTAGTAGTAGTAGTAGTAGTAGTAGTAGTAGTAGTAGTAGTAGTAGTAGTAGTAGTAGTAGTAGTAGTAGTAGTAGTAGTAGTAGTAGTAGTAGTAGTAGTAGTAGTAGTAGTAGTAGTAGTAGTAGTAGTAGTAGTAGTAGTAGTAGTAGTAGTAGTAGTAGTAGTAGTAGTAGTAGTAGTAGTAGTAGTAGTAGTAGTAGTAGTAGTAGTAGTAGTAGTAGTAGTAGTAGTAGTAGTAGTAGTAGTAGTAGTAGTAGTAGTAGTAGTAGTAGTAGTAGTAGTAGTAGTAGTAGTAGTAGTAGTAGTAGTAGTAGTAGTAGTAGTAGTAGTAGTAGTAGTAGTAGTAGTAGTAGTAGTAGTAGTAGTAGTAGTAGTAGTAGTAGTAGTAGTAGTAGTAGTAGTAGTAGTAGTAGTAGTAGTAGTAGTAGTAGTAGTAGTAGTAGTAGTAGTAGTAGTAGTAGTAGTAGTAGTAGTAGTAGTAGTAGTAGTAGTAGTAGTAGTAGTAGTAGTAGTAGTAGTAGTAGTAGTAGTAGTAGTAGTAGTAGTAGTAGTAGTAGTAGTAGTAGTAGTAGTAGTAGTAGTAGTAGTAGTAGTAGTAGTAGTAGTAGTAGTAGTAGTAGTAGTAGTAGTAGTAGTAGTAGTAGTAGTAGTAGTAGTAGTAGTAGTAGTAGTAGTAGTAGTAGTAGTAGTAGTAGTAGTAGTAGTAGTAGTAGTAGTAGTAGTAGTAGTAGTAGTAGTAGTAGTAGTAGTAGTAGTAGTAGTAGTAGTAGTAGTAGTAGTAGTAGTAGTAGTAGTAGTAGTAGTAGTAGTAGTAGTAGTAGTAGTAGTAGTAGTAGTAGTAGTAGTAGTAGTAGTAGTAGTAGTAGTAGTAGTAGTAGTAGTAGTAGTAGTAGTAGTAGTAGTAGTAGTAGTAGTAGTAGTAGTAGTAGTAGTAGTAGTAGTAGTAGTAGTAGTAGTAGTAGTAGTAGTAGTAGTAGTAGTAGTAGTAGTAGTAGTAGTAGTAGTAGTAGTAGTAGTAGTAGTAGTAGTAGTAGTAGTAGTAGTAGTAGTAGTAGTAGTAGTAGTAGTAGTAGTAGTAGTAGTAGTAGTAGTAGTAGTAGTAGTAGTAGTAGTAGTAGTAGTAGTAGTAGTAGTAGTAGTAGTAGTAGTAGTAGTAGTAGTAGTAGTAGTAGTAGTAGTAGTAGTAGTAGTAGTAGTAGTAGTAGTAGTAGTAGTAGTAGTAGTAGTAGTAGTAGTAGTAGTAGTAGTAGTAGTAGTAGTAGTAGTAGTAGTAGTAGTAGTAGTAGTAGTAGTAGTAGTAGTAGTAGTAGTAGTAGTAGTAGTAGTAGTAGTAGTAGTAGTAGTAGTAGTAGTAGTAGTAGTAGTAGTAGTAGTAGTAGTAGTAGTAGTAGTAGTAGTAGTAGTAGTAGTAGTAGTAGTAGTAGTAGTAGTAGTAGTAGTAGTAGTAGTAGTAGTAGTAGTAGTAGTAGTAGTAGTAGTAGTAAGTAGTAGTAGTAGTAGTAGTAGTAGTAGTAGTAGTAGTAGTAGTAGTAGTAGTAGTAGTAGTAGTAGTAGTAGTAGTAGTAGTAGTAGTAGTAGTAGTAGTAGTAGTAGTAGTAGTAGTAGTAGTAGTAGTAGTAGTAGTAGTAGTAGTAGTAGTAGTAGTAGTAGTAGTAGTAGTAGTAGTAGTAGTAGTAGTAGTAGTAGTAGTAGTAGTAGTAGTAGTAGTAGTAGTAGTAGTAGTAGTAGTAGTAGTAGTAGTAGTAGTAGTAGTAGTAGTAGTAGTAGTAGTAGTAGTAGTAGTAGTAGTAGTAGTAGTAGTAGTAGTAGTAGTAGTAGTAGTAGTAGTAGTAGTAGTAGTAGTAGTAGTAGTAGTAGTAGTAGTAGTAGTAGTAGTAGTAGTAGTAGTAGTAGTAGTAGTAGTAGTAGTAGTAGTAGTAGTAGTAGTAGTAGTAGTAGTAGTAGTAGTAGTAGTAGTAGTAGTAGTAGTAGTAGTAGTAGTAGTAGTAGTAGTAGTAGTAGTAGTAGTAGTAGTAGTAGTAGTAGTAGTAGTAGTAGTAGTAGTAGTAGTAGTAGTAGTAGTAGTAGTAGTAGTAGTAGTAGTAGTAGTAGTAGTAGTAGTAGTAGTAGTAGTAGTAGTAGTAGTAGTAGTAGTAGTAGTAGTAGTAGTAGTAGTAGTAGTAGTAGTAGTAGTAGTAGTAGTAGTAGTAGTAGTAGTAGTAGTAGTAGTAGTAGTAGTAGTAGTAGTAGTAGTAGTAGTAGTAGTAGTAGTAGTAGTAGTAGTAGTAGTAGTAGTAGTAGTAGTAGTAGTAGTAGTAGTAGTAGTAGTAGTAGTAGTAGTAGTAGTAGTAGTAGTAGTAGTAGTAGTAGTAGTAGTAGTAGTAGTAGTAGTAGTAGTAGTAGTAGTAGTAGTAGTAGTAGTAGTAGTAGTAGTAGTAGTAGTAGTAGTAGTAGTAGTAGTAGTAGTAGTAGTAGTAGTAGTAGTAGTAGTAGTAGTAGTAGTAGTAGTAGTAGTAGTAGTAGTAGTAGTAGTAGTAGTAGTAGTAGTAGTAGTAGTAGTAGTAGTAGTAGTAGTAGTAGTAGTAGTAGTAGTAGTAGTAGTAGTAGTAGTAGTAGTAGTAGTAGTAGTAGTAGTAGTAGTAGTAGTAGTAGTAGTAGTAGTAGTAGTAGTAGTAGTAGTAGTAGTAGTAGTAGTAGTAGTAGTAGTAGTAGTAGTAGTAGTAGTAGTAGTAGTAGTAGTAGTAGTAGTAGTAGTAGTAGTAGTAGTAGTAGTAGTAGTAGTAGAAAGCCCTAGTACGGATGAGGGTGGGAGTCAGCTCTCTGTCGAAATGTTCTCACATGGTCACGCGTATACAACCTTTGCCAGGGAAGTCCCACTCAATGCGTTTTCGTGGTAGGGGTTTTGTTTATGAGATTGGGAGGACGAGGAGCGAATGTCTGGCGCTTTAACTGGGTTGGTGGATATAGAGCATCTACCTAGGGGAGTCGGAAAACCCTGATTCCAAACCAATGGTGCATATGGACTCCACGATCCTCAGGGAACAAATGGTTACCGGCTACTATGAGACTACATTTCCTAACTTCGCACCACTGCCTTGTGGATTAAACCTCTAGGTCAAGAGCTCGAGAAGTGGCCTCCTAAGCAATCCACTTGCTTTGGTTTGGGCACCCGGCCCTCACATAAATCGAATGATTTATGTGGCACATATATATTTGGTGCCTCTTTGTACCAATATTCATGTGTTTAGATAAATAGGTAGGAAGCATAAGGTACAGAAAGCATAATTCGATAAGAAACAATTCGTGGAACAGTAAAGCACTTTAACATCTGCATGTATGCGTAAAGAAATTATCAAGAAAATAAGGAGTTGAGAAGTATTGGCAATCAACAGTAAAAAACCAAAAGGAATAGAGAATTGGAAAAAAGACGAATGAGATTAAGATGAGAGTTATGGAATTAAAGTAATAATGAATGGGTCAATACCACCGACTACGAGTAATACCGTCTGAAGTTTCCAACATTGATTAGAAGGTGGTTAATAACAAGGTTATTGAGTTTTCTTTGCTCATTTTGAGTAAAGACTATTCTTAAGAAATAGTTTAACATTGTGTACATTTACAAAGATTTATAACTGTACCAAAAATGTAAGAATACAAGTTATATGACGTATTGTATTACCTAAGTACTGCACATGTATTCGGATTTGATGTGTACGCCCAGTGAATAAACGACATATGACTAGACTTGTATTCGTGACAGGATTGTAGTTTAAGCGTAAGAAATGTGTCCGAGCAAACTTCCCACCAGCTGATTCTGGTAAAACGCCATGGACACCCATTCTAGGACTGATAGGCCCGACAGGTTGACTACAAACCACTACTCCGTTGTTTATCTCAAAGCCAGTACATTGATTGATTGGTTCGGTTGGGAAACAGCCTTCAACATGACATATATAATACTTATAAAGTGAAGACAAAACAGAGAAGTAGCTTTAATACATCGTTATTACAGGCTATTTTTATTTCATAGCTAATTAAGAATTAGTCTTAGTTCGGAATAATTTGTAGATGAAATTCCTTGGTAAAATCTAGTGTTGACTGCATGGTGATATTCATGCTTTAATTGTAATATTTCCACATTTCTCGGCCTCACTTATGGGTTAGGGTTGAAATATGTATAAGGTCGTGTACAAAAATAACACAAAAACCATAATATTTATCTATTTTAACACATAGATATTGGTGCAAGGAGGCACCAAATACATATGCGCCACACAGATCTCATTTGATATGTGTGAGGGCTGTGATACTGCACAGGTGCCGAAACCGAAGCAGGTGATTTTCTTAGGGGGCCACACCCCGAGCCTTCGACCCGAAGATCTGATCCACAAGGCAGTGTGGCATCGTGAGGAGATGCAGTCCCATGGTAGCCGGTGAAATGCTCTCACATAGCCACGCGTATATAGCCCCTGCCAGGGAAGTCCTACTCACTGCCTTCTCGTGGCATTACTATTGTTTACGAAATTGAGAGGACGAAAAGTGAATGTCCGGCGCTTCAACCGGATCCCAAACCAATGGTGCACATGGGCTCCAGTATCCTGAGGGAACAAATGGCGTATAAACCAAGTTGGTCACCGGCTACCATGGGACTGCATCACCTTACGATACTCCACTGCCTTGTGGGTTAGACCTTTAGGTCAAAGGCTCGGGGTGTGGCTCCCTAAGAAAACCACCTGCTTCGGTCTGGGCACCTGAGCAGTATCACAGCCCACACACAAATAGAATGAAAATTTGTGTGTCGCATATATATTTGGTGTCCTCTTGTATCAATATTTATGTGTTCAAATAAATAATAAGACTGCAAAATATTTTAGATTAACTCACACTACACACTTTACTGACTAAGTACACATTAATGTAAACTATTAGCTTACTGAGAAAAAGTAACCTGTTCAGAAACAGACACGTGAACTAACAGACTAGTCTTGCTACGTTGAAGAAAGGGGGTAGTTACACCTAGCTGAGTCATTTGGTCTAATATTGTTTACCGAAATGTTAAGAAAGATTAAATTAGGAGCCAAATCTTAACCAACAAGACGTCTGATAATTATCAAAAGAGGGTGTTTATAACATTATTGCGGAAAATAAGGGGAAATCAGAAAATGTCTATCGATGTCATTTACTAAAGCGGTACAGTCATACAGTTGTGCATAATACAATTTACAACAAAACAAAGGCATTGAAACACCATGGTTGTCTTATTTTATCCAATGTTGACTCATTAGATAAAACGAAGTAAGTACTGTCTAAACCTTTTCGTGGCTAAGTGGGAACAACTCGAAAAGAGGACTACAGAAATTCCATCTCTAAGACATCTGTATATGAATTTGGAATTTAGAGTTCACTAGACTTCCGGTTTACTTAAGAACCCATTGTCTGTAGCAATTAAGATGTTCCGTGCAAAAAGCAGAAAACTATTTTCTGTACCCTTAAAGGATAAGCCTCCCACTTCTGACAACCTGTACATAAATCTATTATTATACCTACTCCAAATGGAGGAAAGTACATTGACAAGAGCCAGTGTTCGCCTCTACCACAGATACGAGTACATATTTTAGCTTGGTTTTACAGGGACAAGAGAAAACCGGTCAGAATTATTATTCATAAACAACTGATTGTCTGCAAGTACTCAAATAAATGACTTGTTAAATATAAGGTTATTATTAGAATCCGCTTAAATCCTCGCACCTAATTCTTTGAAAAAGTGAAAACAGCAAGTCTTGTACTTTTTTATAAATTTTTTATGCTGGAGTGACTTTACTGTAAATTGTGTTATAAATAACTATTTGATTTGATTACTTTAGTACATGATATCACTCGAAAGAAATATTTTTGCTTCATTCAACATATAGCACTTAGTGGCTTAGTGGGAAATGTCCCACTGGAATATTTTGAACTAAGTGTCAATAATTGAGCACTTCATGCATGACTATCAAACTTTAAATTTCATGGCCTTGACATGTTTATATGGGATTTTAACCAGTCAGTCTGGTGAAACCTAGAAAACTCTAATTTACTACCTGGTGTGAATATCGTCATGTGAATGTTGACATCAAATGTTGAGATGGGAATTTATGGGCTATAGATTGAAAAGTTAGTTAGTGAATTAATAATATCGGTGATTTTCCCAAATAAATAGTAGATCATTGACGAAGACATGGACATATAATGAGTTATAAAGTTCACTATTTCGTTTTGAAGACTGACGGGAAGAACTGTAATTTATGCAATATAATGATAAATATATATCATATAGTCTTCAGTTATAGGTCAATATTGTTGAACAACCACATCGTGGATGCTGAGTTACAGTAAAAAATGTTGAAGTATGAGAATACTGAGTCGAACTAGTGAAAATATCAAAATCAAGCTTGTAATTCAACTTCAAATCAAGAAGTGGTACTATCTATATGAATGCGTTAAGTTAGATATAGAAAGTAATGATAAATATGATAAACAAGACGTACTTTTGCAACCTCCTTACTGCTAATTTGTGATTGCAGACGTACAGATGTGTCGTAGTTCTTGGCGATTAACAGTAATCCAGAAGTCATTCTATCATTTTTTTTAAACCACAAGCGAAAATGAAGTGTAAATACCAAGTGTTAAATGCTAAGACAAATTAAAATCCCCGTTAAATTTCATGCAACACAAAAACATGAATAATAAAATAAATCTCGTTGAAAATCGGAAGTGAAGTAATATGGAAGTATTTGGAATTTCGTAAAAATTTAATTACTAAGCAATAAGCTGAGCAATTTGACAAATTTCTTTTGAATTCCAATCAGCTACTCCGCCTGGAGTCCCTTTCGGGGGGCTACTGCCGGTCCCAAGCCCGGATAAAGGAGGAGGGTTGGGCATGGGGTTAGCGACCCCATCCCGTAGAAAACTAACTCGCTAAAAAACGCTAACCAGAAAGAATTATTCAAACCATCTAAACTCTGCCCTGGGAGTCAGGAGGTCTTCGTTTAGAAGAATTATGACGCCTCGTGATGAAAGCCGAGTTTCTTCGGAAGTCACGAGGCCGATGCCCCTTCTGACAACCAGAGCAACCATTTTTTTAGGTACATGGAATGCTCGTACAATGTAGGAGATTGGGAGAGTTTTCCAAATTGCTGCAGAAATGAGGAGATACAATTTAGAGGTGCTTGGGATCAGTGAAACCACATTGGACGCAAGTTGGACAACAACGACTAGCTTCAAGGGAGCTGCTGTTATACTCCGGACATGAACAGGAAAATGCCCCACATACACAAGGAGTTGCATTGATGCTGTCCAAACAAGCACAAAATGCACTTATACGATGGGAATCTCATGGACCAAGGATCAATTTAGAGGTGCTTGGGATCAGTGAAGACGCTAAAGACCAATTCTACGATAAGCTGCAGTCAATCATCGAGAAGTGCCCAACAAAGGACCTGACCATCCTCATGGGAGACCTAAATGCCAAGGTTGGAATTGACAACACCGGATATGAAGAGATTATGGGACGACACGGACTGGGAGAAAGGAACCAAAATGGTGAGAGATTTGCAAATCTATGTGCGTTCAATAAACTGGTCATAGGCGGGACTAAATTCCCACATAAACGCATACACAAAACCACATGGACTTCAGCGGATTACACCACACAGAACCAAATCGACCATATCTGCACCCACAAAAAGTTCAGGAGGACGATGGAGGACTTGAGAACCAAGAGAGGAGCCGATATAGCATCAGATCATCACTTGTTGGTCACCAAGATGAAATTGAAACTCAAGAGGCACTGGACAACGGGGAGGACAATATCACAAAAGTTTAATACGGCTCTTCTTCGGGATAATGAAAAAACTCAACAAATTCAAGATAGCCCTCAGCAATAAGTTCCAAGCCTTTCATGATCTACTCAATGGAGAAGGAACTACTATGGAGAGCAACTGGAAAGAGATAAAAGAGGCAATCACTTCAACATGTCATGAGGTTCTGGGCCAAAAGAAACACCATCACAAGGATTGGACCACGGTCGATACACTGGATAAGATTCAAGAAAGGAGGAACAAGAAGGCAGCAATCAATACCAGCCGAATGAGAGCAGAAAAGGCCAAGGCACAGGCTTAATACACAGTAAACAAGCAAGTGAAGAGGAGCATCAAAACCGACAAACGTAAATATGTGGAAGATTTAGCAACGACAGCGGAAAAGGCTGCCAGAGAAGGAAACATGAGAAAACTGTATGACACAACAAAGAAACACTCTGGAAATCACCGTAAACCAGAACGACCAGTGAAAAGCAAGGAAGGCAAGATAATCACCAACATTGAAGAACAACGGAACAGGTGGGTAGAACACTTCAAAGAACTCTTAAAATCGACCAGCACCACTGAACCCACCCAACATCGAAGCAGCACTCACGGACCTCCCAATCGATGCTGGCCCACCAACATTTGTAGAGATCAGCATGGCTATCAGACAAATCAAGTGTGGCAAAGCAGCAGGACTAGACAGCATTCCAGCAGAGGCACTGAAATCAGACGTAGCGGCAACTGTAAGGATACTCCAAACTCTCTTCAGAAAGATCTGGGATGAGGAACAGGTACCAAAAGACTGGAAAGAAGGACTTCTAGTCAAAATACAAAAGAAAGGCGATCTCAGCAACTGTGACAACTACAGGGGAATCACTCTTCTCTCAATACCAGGAAAAGTCTTCAACAGGGTATTGTTAAACACGATGAAGGACTCCGTAGACGCCCAACTTCGAGACCAACAGGCAGGACTCCGTAAGGATAGATCGTGCACAGACCAAATCGCAACTCTACGGATCATTGTGAAACAATCAATTGAATGCAATTCATCACTCTATATCAACTTCATTGACTACGAAAAAGCATTTGATAGCGTGGACAGAACAACCCTATGGAAGCTTCTTCGACACTACGGTGTGCCTCAGAAGATAGTCAATATCATACGGAATTCCTACGATGGATTACACCGCAAAATCGTGCATGGAGGACAGCTAACAATGTCGTTCGAAGTAAAGACCGGTGTCAGGCAAGGTTGCTTACTCTCACCCTTTCTCTTTCTCCTGGTGATCGACTGGATCATGAAGACATCAACATCTGAAGGGAAGCACGGGATACAGTGGACAGCTAGGATGCACCTGGATGATCTAGACTTCGCAAATGATCTGGCTCTTCTATCGCACACAGAAAAACAAATGCAGGAGAAGATAACCAGTGTAGCAGCAGCCTCAGGAACAGTAGGTCTCAATATACACAAAGGGAAAAGCAAGATTCTCCGGTACTACACAGCATGCACCAATCCAATCACAATTGACGGAGAAGATTTGGAAGATGCAACAACCTTCACATATTTGGGCAGCATCATTGATGAACACGGAAAAGCAAGAGCAGCATATTTACAACTGAAGAATATCTGGAACTCAAAACAATTGGCAACCAACACCAAACTCAGAATTTTCAATACAGATGTCAAGACAGTTCTACTGTATGAGGCGGAAACCTGGAAAACCACGAAAGCCATCATCCAGAAGATACAGGTGTTTATTAACAGTTGTCTACGCAAAATACTTCAGATCCACTGGCCGGACACTATAGGCAACAACCTACTGTGGGAGAGAACAAATCAGATCCCAGTGGAGGAAGAAATCAGGAAGAAGTGCTGGAAGTGAATAGGACATACATTGACGAAAGCACTGAAATGCGTCACAAGACAAGCCCTCACATGGAATCCTCAGGGCCGAAGGAGGAGAGAAAGACCAAAGAACACATTAAGCCGAGAAATGGAGATAGATATGAGAAAAATGAACAAGAATTGGATGGAACTAGAAAAGAAGACCCAGGACACAGTGGGTTGGAGAATGCTGGTCGGCGGCCTATGCTCCATTGGGAGTAACAGGCGTAAGTATTTATTTATTTTAACACATAGGTATTGGTACAAGGAGGCACCAAATACATATGCGCCACACGAATCTCAATTGATTTGTGTGAGGGCTGTGATACTGCCCGAGTGCCCAAACCGAAGCAGGTGGTTTTCTTAGGGGGCCACACCCCGAGCCTTTGACCCGAACGTCTGATCCACAAGGCAGTGGAGCATCGTGAGGAGATGCAGTCCCATGGTAGCCGGTGACCAACTTGGTTCATACGCCATTTGTTCCCTCAGGATACTGGAGCCCATGTGCACCATTGATTTGGGATCCGGTTAGAGCGCCGGACATTCGCTTTTCGTCCTCTCAATTTCGTAAACAATAGTAATGCCACGAGAAGGCAGTGAGTAGGACTTCCCTGGCAGGGGCTATATACGCGTGGCCATGTGAGAGCATTTCGAGAGGGAGAGCGGACTCTCCCCACTCTCGGCCGTACCAGGGCATTTGGGGGCTAGGCGTAAGTATGTAACCCCCTACATGATTGAGTATAATACATAATCGCGGGTTTTACACAGACAACATTTTACAGGGACTACGGATGTAAGTTGCAACAACTCACATTACTATAAGTTAGAGAATCATCAAAAAATTAAAAATAGTAACAAGATGGTTTTGGAAACGGCATGGAAAATAGGCTTGCAGGTATCCAGGACTTCACAGAAATGCAGACTAGGATTTGATATTTATTTTAAGCTGTCCTGTTGTTACTACCTCTTGTGTTGTTATTAAACACTGCCAGTCTCGATTTAATAGGCTTAGAGTACTACGATCTCTGAGCTTCACCTGTCCTGACCTTAATATCAATCTATGAACTCATTAAAAAACCTTAGGAATGTTGTAAGTCAAGGTTTACAAATATACCACTCGTTCTAATAAATATTTACAACATAAGGAAGTTCGTCATGTTTTAGGCATAAAGTCATTTGTCTCTACTTTTCGGTGCCTGCTTTTTCAAGACAACTGATTATCCCCCAATGTCTAACAAAATATTTATTTCTTAAGACGAATTCTGAAAATGAAGCTTCCTCTACAAAGACAAGTACAGGTGAAAGCATACTGACCCCTCATCTATACATATGAAAAATAATCACTGAACAACTTGAGTAAAAATATGATGAATACGCAAACTAAGAACTATCAAGCATGAAATCATTAGAATCTCGCCCAGTAAACCAGCTAGCTTACAAAGAAGTAAAACTGGATGACTGACATAAGCGCTGCGACAAGTTATGAAGGAACTTCTGGAGCCTCATAGTGCTTAACTCATTTATTTTCACACAAGAAGCCTATCCACAGTCTGCTAAAAATTACTGGTATCAAGAGCTGATATTACAGCTGTGATCCTTCCGAAGAGCTAGTCAGCAATGGATTGGATAAGAGATGCTTAAGCTAATGAATTGTAGGTATAAGTAGTTAATCTTTCAGGAGTTCCAAATACAGAAAAATGAGCTTTAACCATAAGCGAACAGCTAAGTGTAGTATTACACCAAGTTATTTTTTCATGTCCTAAACACTTGATTTCCCTGAGGTATCCGAGTAATAGTATTGGGGATTTACTACCTTAAAGTCTGATAGTAAGACAACAGCGATACCAAAGTGTACTTGAGGAACAACCATCTACTGCGGTCATATTAAGGTCTTAAACAAATGCGAGGTTGAAAAAGTTAGGATTATGAATTAGAATTAGGCTTTTCATCACATATTAACACATACATAACCATACGGACGAACAAATTAGGCTCCAAAATTCGCAATCTCAGATCTGGCTGGTTTGTTTATAAACAAGTCTCGTGAGCCTATCAAAGCAACTGTGGATCACGTTTACATAAAATCAGAAGCGCAATTACCTTCACATACTTTTGTTAAGTGAACCGTTACGAATAGTGAATGAACATACCTATCAAGGCGGTGGGTAAATCGTAGAGGACGAAGACCATAATCCTTGGCCAAAATGTGTGTGATGCTGTTAAGTGTGTACTGGCCACAAGGATGAATGGGTATGGAGGGAGGTTTATTGACGACTAAAATATCGTCTGAATCGTGTACAAACTCAATGGGAAGATCTTGGAGGCAAAGTAAAACTAAAGCATAAACATACTTAGTACAGGAGACTCATGGCGATGAACCTTTTGAGAAAGGAGATCACTGTCATTTAAAACATAGTCAGGGTCCACTTTGGTATTGTTTACTAGGATTTCACCTGATTCACATTTCTGTGCCTAAGAATCTTCTTTTCAGTAACAAAAGGTATTCATTACGATTGCTTCATCAGAATTGTTATTAAATTCAGACTGCAGGACATCACGGAGCTTACGATTAATCCACCTATCCTTTGCATAAGCTTTGAAGACGAAATGATAGGGGAAAACCTATCAAAATGAATACGGAAATATTTACAAACCTTTCTAAATATTCCATCAATGTAGTAGTCACTAATGCTGGAATTTTCGTAATGCACAAAGTCAGTCGCTAATCGTTTCCTCTCTTGTCGTTTCTTAGTCAATATAGCTTTAGCTGCAGCCTTTTTAGCATTCTTCCTTTCGCGTTTATTCATGTTTTTCAGAACACAGGCTAAACTTGTACATAGACTTCGAGCATAAAGCATGAATACAGACCACACTCAAATTTCCCTATTCACATTGTGACCTTGTCAATTGGACAAACATATGAACCGTTTATTCAAAAATTTCAAGCCTCGTTGGGTACAAATAAAGAACTGCTTATCTCTGATATATGAACCAAGGTTGCTGGATGTTGCGGTGAATAAATCACCTCGGTCACTCATCCGCACCAGATCACGCGTGGACACGCTGTGCCATACATCTCCTACAACCGCTAGTTGGCTAAGGTTAATTACTTCTCAATATATCGATAACTTGTCAAATATATCCTTGAACCTCTTAACTTCTCACTTGACTGGGTTGACATACTTTAATTATAAAATGTGTTACCAGTTAAGGCGTTGCCGAACTCCGAACACTTATCGAGTCTGTGGGAAAAGATTGTGGCGGTAAATAAATCCCCAAAATAAATAGCTCTGTAAGTTTTCGACATCAGATGCTGACCACATTAGTTTTAATGAACTCACCTGGCTGAAGGAGCTCAGTCATGCATCCGCACCAGATCACGAGTGGGAACACCGCGCTCAACAACCTCTGCAATCGCTAGTCAGCGGATAAATTCACCCCTAGACAGATTAGATCAGACGATCCTCGATATATTGATGGCCTATCAAATATATCTTCGAACCTCCTCGCTTCTGTCTTTTGGTTCCACCTGGTGCGTACGATTCGTATTAGAAGGTGTTACTTGTTAAAGCGTTGTCAAACTCCGAATACCTGTGGCATCTTCAGGATCATTCATCTCCATGTTTTAACCTTCATAAGTATGGATTGAAGTTAAGTGATCCACGCTTAATCTGGAGATTCGCAGTATCGTAGAGACTCAATCTCGTTTTTGTTCAGTGTGTAGTTATGCAGATCGTTGCAACTATTCGTTTACACTATTAAACACCTTCCAAAAGTTGGTTCTGATGAATATCGATCTGTCCACTCAACCACTGGATTCAAGTTGTGGCGATAAATAAATCCCCAAAATAAATAGCTCTGTAAGCTTTCGACATTTAACGCTGACCACATTAGTTTTAATGAATTCCCCTAGCTGAAGGAGTTTGGTCACTCATCCACACCAGAACACGAATGGGAACTCAACTTCTCCTGCAATCGCTAGCCAGCTTAGATCGGTTGCTTCTCGATATATTGATGACCCATCAAATATGTCTTCGAACTTCCTCTCTTTTGACTTCTGATTTCACTGGATTGGCACGATTCAATTATAGAAGCTGTTACTGGGTAAAGTGTTGTTAAACTGCATATACTTGTGGCATCTTCATAGTCCTCCTTATCAGACATGTTTTCGGGTGTCCACTTTCCGATATCATCGGTAAAACTTTGAACAAATGACTCTGCGAGTCTTGTTAGACCATTCATATAAAGCAAAAAAGAAAGACGACCTAGGAATGTTGCCTGAGGTACTCCACTCTCCACAGATCCTCATGGTAACGAGCTCTGTTTGATTTCGCTCAGATAAAGACAAATAAACCCCAAACTCAAGTAATTCCCTGAGTCTTCAACATTGGTGCTGACTTTAGTAATTTTACTAAACACCTCCTAGCTGAATGGTTTGAGTCAAGCCTCTTCAACAGAATCCCACTGGGTATGCTGTGTTATGCGTCCCGCACAATTGCTGGTCAGCTTAGATTAAACACTTTTTGAGATATTGCGTACCCTCCAAATATGTCTTCTGACTCCTTCGTTCTTCCCTTCTGATTTCAACGGGTTTCGGGTAACTGAGATAATTAGAAGTATTTGAATTATAGTATGAACTAAGAATCCCAGGGATAACGCAATCGAATCAAGAAGTACTATACAAGCACTAACGAATGTACTGTATTTAGAATTCGAAATCAAACATTCAAGAAGTACAAAGCAATCATTAGTTTATTCAAACACCACATCCGCCACAGCTTAAATTAGAGTCTAAGTGTCTGTAATCAATTGTACGTCTTCTCCTCAAGTTCATGCTGTGTCTGTCCGACAATGTATTAGATAAAGTCTCTGTATTATCTAGAATGCACTCATTAGTATTAGAATTAACAACTGAAATCGGAACAGACTCACCTGGTTGCTGGAATTGTATTTGATCAACATGTCGATTGTGTGTACTTAAGTCATTGATATCTAGAAGTCGCACCATAGATTTTCCGACATTCTTCAGAACAATCCCCGTGGATGGTCGAAGATCATTGCCACGATAATACGTAACTTCTGCAGACTCCAAACATCTCATATTCGACCGAAGAATTCTTCCTTTTAATAGTTTTGATGGAGTCTTTTTCGTCACCGAATGTCTGGTATTTCTATATTGCAGTAGAAAGGTATCTACTCCCCTCTCCAGCTCATTAAATGTTGAGGCAGCAATAGAATCAATGGCAGTTTTTAACGTCCTGACAAAATTTTCTGCCTGACCATTGGAACAAGGATGTCTGGGAGCAGTAAACAGATACTTGCACCCTATACCATTTAACCAGGTAGTGACTGCATCTGCAGCAAAATGAGAGCCGTTATCAGTTACTAACACCATTGGAACCCCTTCTCGACTAAACACCTTTCTTAATGCTTGAATTGTGAAGTCAGAATTTGGTGAAGTTGTGAAGAAAACTTCAGGCCACTTTGAAAAAGAATCAATAACTACAAGCGCATAGTATTTGCCAAGAAACGGACCACAATAGTCTGCATGAATTCTCTGCCAGGCCTCAGACGATACTGGCCATGGAGTCCACTTCGAATGCTGATGTTTCAGCTTATGACACTTTTCACAATTGTTTGCTGTACGACAAATATCTGCATTTATCTCTGGCCACCAACATGTGAGCCTCGCCAATGACTTCATTTTTTCAACACCTAAATGTCCACTATGAAGATCTTCTAGGACAGATTTACGCAATGAAGGAGGAATAACAACACGATCATTTAAACACAAAATACCATCAGGAGTAGTGGATAGCTCATCCCGCTTTGAAAAATAGATAGGAAATCTACGTTTCAAATTAGCATTCCAACCTTTCCGTATAGCATTAATTATACATCCAAAGTATTTACGAGTTTCTCTAATGAGATCTGGACGTTTCACTGGTAAAGGTTGCACTAACAAACAGTCTGAAGTATTTACAGGTTTATCTTGTAATGACTGTCGAGAAATGTAGTCAACATGTTGAATTTGTTTGGCACTCCTATGCTGAACCGTATAGTCATAGGCACTCAAAGCAATACTCCATCGTTGAACCATAGCAGCTGAGGAACGTGCTAAGGATTTTTCAGGATGATAAATAAACTTTAAAGCCTCATGATCGGTAACAATAGTGAATTTCTTTCCGAATAAATATTTATGGAGTCTTTTAACAGCCCAATACACAGCTAATGCTTCTCGCTGAGTCTGTGAATAAGTTTGTTCAGTAACAGTAAGTTTACGTGAAACACAAATAACTGGTCTACCTTCCTGTTCCAAAACTGCGCCAATACCCACAGGTGATGCATCAGTGATAAGTACAGACTGTACACTAGGGGAGTAAGTTCGAAGAACGGCATCACTTTGAAGAAACTTTAGTAGACTACGTAAGCATGACTCTTGTTCCTCACCCCATTTAAATGAATTGTATGTCAAAATATTAAATAAACAATTTGCACGACAAGAAAAATTAGGAATAAAACGGGAATAGTATTGAAGAGCACCCACTAGTGAACGTAGTTCCGTAAGATTTTTTTGGAGACGGTGCATTTGTCAGTGGAGCTAGTCGTTTCATATCTGGTCTAAAACCATTGACATCAACTAGGTATCCAAGACATTCGAAATTAGATACACAAAATGAACACTTATTTGGATTCACTGTAATATTCTTCTCAATTAAACGACGCAATAAAGCAATAAGTCTCTGGTTATGAACTACCTTATCAGAACCATGAACAATGAGATCATCTTGATAAACTTCAACGCCCTCAAGGTCACTAACTACATTATTCATGACTTCCTGAAATATAGCTGGAGAACAACTTAGACCAAATGGAAGGAAATTGTATTTGAACAGACCAAAAGGAGTATTAATTGTCGTTAAAAGAGATGAAGATTGATCTAAAGGGATTTGGAGATAAGCATCTTTTAGGTCAACTTTCGAGAACACTTTAGAACCATGAAGTCGATTTAGAATATCTTCAGCCTCTACCGTCGTGCACGTTTGCTTCAACAAACGGGAATTCAGTGTTAATCTATAATCACCACATATTCTAGGGGTTTTGCCATCCGACTTCAGTGGCGTAACAATAGGAGTACCCCATGCTGAGGACTGGATCGGTTCAATTATGCCTTTCGCACACAAATCGTTTAATGTTTTATGTACTGCCTCTCGAAGACCATAAGGAATTATTCGTCTTTTAAGAAATACTGGTTCACCCTGTACTTGAAGTTTTATAGGCCGAATCTTCATACCTCCACTGCACTTAGCACACGTGGCTATCAAATCTTTAAGTAAAGCATCATTATTTTCTTTAGAAACTAGGAAAGACAGCTCCACTTTAAGCCTTTTCAAATTCCTTAAGCCCAGTATTGACAGTCCTGTTTCGCTAACTAAAAATTCACAAGGTATGCACGAAGAATTATCATCTCTTATTAGCAACTCACAACATCCTCGTATAGGCAGTCTGTGTCCAGTAATCCCCAATATTGATACCTCAGTGGGTCGTACCACAACATTAGGATCTAAAGATTTCAAGTTCTTGAATGAAATAATGGACTCTATACTGCCTGTGTCAACAATAAAGTCATGACATGAACCAAGCGATGTATATAATCGCTTTTGAATATGAGCATTACCTTTCGAAACAGTAGACAAAGATAAATGATCATTAGGAACAGCTGAATCACTGGGATCTAAATTACAAGATTTAGTACTACTTGAGGCGAAATGAATAGTAGCTTTGCATACTGATTGAATGTGTCCTATCTTACCACATCTAAAACATTTAGCATTACGAAATGCACATGAATTACGAGAATGAATTTTTCCACATGATAAACATTTGCCAAACTTGGTCTCAC